GCACCGCCAGGAACGCCCTCGCCGGGCTTAAGGCCTGGCATTTCGCGCAGAACGCAGAATGGAAGGGAGGCAAACGCCTCAACTACATACTGAACGGGGTCGAGAACAGACACCCCGCCCTTTCCCATCGACCACCCCACCTCCCCATCAACCGGAAGATGCTACGCATCCTCAGGGCCGGCCTCGACCTGACGGACAGCGTCGACATGGCCGTCTTCGCGGCCGCTTGTGTGGCGTTCTGGGGCCAATGTCGCCTAGGCGAACTCCTCCCATCTTCAACAACGCCGGCGGCTGCAAGGAGGAACCCGACTCGCGCGGACGTCACCTTCCCATCACCCGCATTCCCCTCTCACATTATCCATCTCCCATCGACGAAGGTCCGCTTCAGTCAAGGCGAAGACGTCGTTATCCTCCACCAGCGCGGCTCGTCGGACCCCATTCGGGCACTGCGTCACCACCTGTACTGGAACAATCCCGGACCCCGGGACCACCTTTTTGCCTACCGGACGTCGTTTGGCATCCGCCCTCTCACCCGGCGCTTCTTCATGAAGAAGTGCAATACAGTCTGGAGCCGGGCCGGCCTACCAAGGTTCACGGGGCACTCATTCCGCATAGGGGGAACCACAGAGCTGCTGTTGGCCGGCGTCTCACCCGATGTCATAAAGAAGTCCGGTCGATGGTCCTCCGACGCCTTCCTGCGCTATTGGAGGGTGGTCGAAGGCATCCTTCCAACACACATGCAGCATCTCCCCTCGGGCCATTCCCGCCACTCATCTCGACGACCACGACCGCAGGGTGGGGGTCAGCCGGGCACGCGCACCACGGCTGGTGTGCGGTCTGGGCGAGCCGTCGCGCTCGCACCCGGCTTGCGCCCAAGCTAATACGCTTCACCCACACCATACGGTGGATCTCTCAGCGCGCTCTCCGCGCAAGGCTGCAGGACCGCAACCCGCCCAAGAGTGGGCGCACCGGAGCGGAGGCCACGAGTGGCGGTGCCAGTTCTTGGGCGGAGGAGGTCGCCTCGCTGGCTCCCTTGCTTCCGCTTCCGAGGGCGACGAGGGGTCGACCTCCTTCGTCGTTTTTTCGTCCCACCCTCCACTCCCTGTCATTTGCTATACTTTCCCGAGCAGTTAGGAACACGTCATTCGATTCACATTGGGATTACAGTAGAAAGTAGAGTACAATACTCATTCCCTGAGCACTCTGAGAGTTCCGACCGAGCAGGCCGGGGGCGAGCCGTCGCGCTCGCACCCGGCTTGCGCCCAAGCTAATACGCTTCACCCACACCATACGGTGGATCTCTCAGCGCGCTCTCCGCGCAAGGCTGCAGGACCGCAACCCGCCCAAGACAGATAAGTGGCGCAAACGTATACGGAGAAATCGGGTACGGGGGAACCTAGAGATTGCGGTGACCAAGATAAGTACTCGGGTGAGCCCGAGAGGCCCTCCACGACGAGAATGAGACTTTAGCAGGCAATTGGTGGGCGGATACTGTGATGGGGCGCAGCAGCTCGCAGGCGGGTACGTACGGCGCCGGGCTCGATAGGCAGTCGTCGACGACGGGAGAGGTGCGGATCGGACGCGCCCACTTCACGTTGTATGGAGCGGAGTTACCATCGGAGTCGGAATCGGAGTGCGAGACAATCACCTGGAGCGTCCCCGAGAAGCGGTCTCAGATACATCGATGATACCTTGGACAAGACCGCTGACATAGACGATTACGATTTTGATTGCGGCCCCGAGCTCGGTCTCGGTCTCGGTCTTCTTGGACGCAAGTGAATGACCGGAGGGGCAAAGCAAAGAGGGCGTGATGGCGAGGTTCGAGCTGGTCATGAGAGCTCTTTGCGTTTGGTTAGTGCCTGGCAGCTGCAAGTCACCAGCAATGTATCGCTGAAGCAGCCGCCACGGCTATGGTGGCGTCGTTTCGATGATCTGCCGACACGTCACGAATCCGTCCGCGTCCTGATTCACATATATAGAGCGAACCGGGTATTTGGTTCCGATATAGTCAAGTCGTCATCGGGAGAGGTGTCTCACTGTCATCGAGAGAGATCAGCTGTGCGGCTGCCGTTTTATGAGACCGTATAACGAAACGCTTTTGATGATGACGGTTCTTGATCTCGAGAGTCAGACGGCCGGATTGTTTTTCTTATACCTTATCCGTTAGACGAGAGAAGAGCAGAAGACGAACACGTTGTAGGGTGCAGATTCACCCTCTGATCGTCGACTTGTCTCGATGTACGGGAGAGAGTCGGAGCGCCTCGTGTGCACGATGATAACGAGCCATAGGCAGGAACATACGGGACGGTCGAAATGGACGTCGCGAAGGGTGTCTGGCCTCGAGCGACGAGTTGGAGCGATGGTATGAAGGCCGTGGTCGAAAAAAAGCGATCGATGATTACCGCGCGTGTGGCGCGGCGTGTGTGGCCGATAGCGACGATGAGCACGCGACGAGATCGACAAAACACAAAAGCGCGAGCGTGAAAAACCGCGTATAACACGATCAGTCATTTGGCCCAAGGGAAAAATCAGCGGCCAAGTGAAAAAGGTTTAAGAGTGTGGTATATGAACGACGGCGATCCCCTGATGCGATTGGCGGAGATCGGGGCGGGTTCACATCCATCTCTCGGTCTCAGTGTTCATGATTCTGGCGAACGAGAAGAGGCGGAAGGGAGGGATATATCTGGGGGGGGGGGGGGTCGGGCGAGCCTCGTGTGCGGCGCGGAGTCCTTGGGCGGTGATGGTGAGGGTCGGTGGTAATGTTTGTTTGTTTTTTTCGGTCGAGCGAGTAGACTGAGCCTCGGGTATACGACGCGTTTTACCTTCGTTCGCGGAGTGTCTCGAGTCATTGCGCGTTAACGTTCCTTCCCGTGCGGGCGTATGCGTTTATGATTGATCAAAGGTGGCGCCGAAGAGCGGAGAGGGATTAAAGAGATATGTATGGTGGCGTAAAGTACGGAGCGTCGAGTTATCGTTGTATTGGAGGCGTGGAGAGATCCGGCTGCCGTCGCGGCTGCGGGTAGTCGTCGTTGCGACAGATACGGGCAGACGGATGGGTGCGCGCGTTGGGAGGGGGGGCGTAGGATTAGGGTGTGGGAAAACGCCGATGTATCGATAGCTTGATAGTGTGTCGTTTGAGCGGCGTGAAAGAGCACGGGTGTATGTCAGAGATGCGGGATCGGCGATTCAATGTCGGGTTTCGTCCTCCTTTTTTATTAAGTGGAAGTGCGAAGGGAGTCTCCAGCGACGGTTTGTGGTAAGCCTCCCGAGGTGCCGGAGCCCCCATATCGTCGGCGGTAGGCAGAGAATAGAGTCCCCCCCCCCCGTTCCGCGGTCCATGGATGCGGGTCTGGATCGGGACTACGTCGCTAGGGCCGGCATCGTTCCCAACGTCAAGGATTGCAATGGGAGAACGCTAGGGAAGAGTACGGGGGTTGACAGATCGCGTTGAGTTCGGGATGGAGGGAAAAGGAGAAGGGCGCGTGTGCGGTGGGTTGGGGAACGTTGACTCTTTCCACAACCTTGCTTGTTCGCTGTCCGAGCATCGAGCGCCTGTCCGGCGATGAAAGGGCGAGGAGGGAGTACGGAAGAGAAGATGGTCGCCGAGTGCCGATGCCGAGGGAACGCCCCCTTGCCCCCTCCTCGGAATAGTCCGCTCTCAGCGCTTGGCCAAGATCAGAACGAGACGAAAGTTGCGAGCGCGAAAACAGGCCGGGGCCACGATTTGCCCTCGTGCTCGTAGCGCTGAGCAAGAGCATGAGACCGATAGCTTCGGAATGAAAAGAAAGGGAGGGGCGAGACGAGAGTCGAGCTCGGGCATCGGGGCATCGGACATCGCATTCGCGGGCGCGGGCGCGGGCGTTATGTCGGCTTGGGCCGATGTTACGCTTCCACGTCCGGACCGTCTTCGAGGCGCCCCGTTCCATTAAGCGCGAAGACGGCGGATGGACGACCTTGCCGACGTCGATGACGAATATCGATGCAGCCCCACCCTGCGAAACGTGTTCGCCCGGAATAACGTGTACCGTTGCGCCCATCGGGGCGATCTGGACAGTCCATATGTGGGCGAACGATGGAATGCGTTTCGTCGTTACAAACGGGGGTTTGAGAGGGCGCCGATGTTTGATCGTTGAGAGCGCGAACAGAACGTTCGAGGCGCCGGAGATGGATACAGGCATACGAGCGCTTGCTAGACATCGAACAGAAACTCTTCACGGACTGAACGAGCGGATGTCACGAAGAGATGAAGTGGGATCCACCCATGGGCAGCGGCGCAATACAGTCCGTTACGAGACCGCTCGGCGAGGTACCGTGTCCGCCAGCCTCCGGGTGGAGGGAGGATAGAGAGCAATGCAATGCGTCCGGGGACCCGGGATCGACGAGGATGGACAGATTGCGCTTCCACGTCTTCGATGCCTCTGCAACAAGCTTCTGTCGTCGAAGAGAAAGGGCGGAGGGAGAGGCGTCAATGGTTGATGCCGGAGAGGGGCGAACGTATAGTGCGCGGAGCCAGGAACCCGTTCGTGCTGCCCCCCCTGTGCCCCAGGCGCGATTTGCTGGAAGGCGGGTAAGCATGCGCTAGCTGCTATGAATAGCGGCGAACGCTGTTGCGACGTCGGAGTGGGGCGGGCTCTGACATCGATATATAGATGTAGAAAGCGGCACTGTATCACCGCAGAGGTATATCGACGCATTCGTCGTCGGAGTCGCACGCCGGGTCTCGTCGCGCGGGACAAGGCCTGCATGCAATAATGCGAGTCAATCGCCGTTACGTTGCGCTGTCGTGCTCGAGCTGGTCGTGTTCAATTGGGTCATTTTAGCAGCAGACGTCCGTCGTCGCAGAACGTGCAGGACGCATGGGATCAGCGCATATATCGCGCGTGAGTGCGCCGGCTGCCCGATGCGGGATAGCGTCCCCCGGCAAGCGGGCATGTCAAAGGTGCACGGAAAAATCGAGCAAGGTTTATCGGGGGAACGGGGCACGAGGCCGCGGGGGAGCCGGCTGCCATATCGAGGAGGGGCCCGAAGGGGAAGGTACTGTGGGAAGCGAAGGGCAGGGTGGGAAGCGAAGGCGGGGTGAGAAGGCGAAGGCCTCGAGCGGTGATGGCCTCAGGCGTCGGGCAGCCAATGAGCGGGGTCCGGCAGTCGACGAGGTTTTACGTACGGCCGAACCCTGATTTCGAGCATAAGACCCCCGCACGGCCGATGCCATGCGGACGAGAATTTCCCGCCTCCTGGAATCCCTGACTCGCCATGGACGCAGACGCCCTCGACGACTACGGTGCCGCCTTCGCCGACGACTTCGACCTCGACCCCGCCTGCCGCGAGAGCCGCATCTACGGCTGGATCGCCAGCCAGTGCAACTACACCCTCGGGCCCGCCGACGACGACGAGCACCTCGAGCCCTGCGTCCCCCGCGGGGAGTCCCCCCTGCTCGGCCACCCGACGACGTACGCATACCCGCCCACCGAGACCGACCTCGAGTCGGACACCGACGCGTCGGTGTCCACGCCGCAACAGCATGGAGGCCGCGCCCTCTCCGTGCGCGCGTCGTGCCCCAACCTGTCGCGTGCTGCCGCCGCGGACGCGCGTCGACGCGAAGACGAACAACTCGACCAGGCCTGGGGCGCGGTCGCGCGCCAGCACCGGCGACGCGCCGCGTCCTCCACCAAGGTGCCCTCCGCGTACACGTATACCGCCGCGCCGACGGTTCCAGCGGAACTATTCTCCTCGATCGTGAGCACCGCCACACGCGCTCAACCTTGTTTCAATCGTCTGAGCTGTTCCCGTGTCTAGGAAAAGCCGCTGCCACCGGCGCCACAGCCGATCTACAGCAGTTGTTCGCCGGTGACCAGTCCCGTGCACTCTCGCGCCCCTTCGTCGTTATCGTTATCGACCCGAAGGACGGCGTCCCAAGAGCTGAAGACGAACGCGGACGCGACTAGGCGCGCAGCCGTATACGACATCTCGGCGCCGTCTCCCCTCTCGGCGTCGACATCCTTGGACGCGGTCAGCGACCGGGTTCCTACCCCAACACCGACGCCCACGCCCACGCCTACTCCCACGATACGGCATGCCAAGAGGCCACAGCCGATTACGATCGTGCCTGTGACCATGCCCGGGCGCAGCGACGCGCCGCATTCGGGAACGTCCTCGTCTACTTCGACCTCGACGCCGACGCCGACGCCGACCCAGCGGCACGTGAGGACGACCTCCTCCTCGTCCTCCATCACCCGCACCCACGCGCATGCCCCCGCGCCGTACCCGTCGGAGCAGGCGCAGACCCCCACGCAGCGGTCCACCCCGCCGTGCATCGTGCCTCCGCTGATGTCCCCGACGTCCTCCATCATGTCCTACGCCTCCTACGCCTCCACCGCGTCCGCCTCGACGCTCTCCACCCCCGCGCTCACCCTGTCGCCCACCTCCCCCGCGCACTCGGACGGCTCGTACTCGCCCTACCCCGAAGGCGAAGGCGAGCCCGAGGTCGACGCCGACGACGAGCACCTCGCGCCCACCGAGCTCGGCCAGCGCCGGCCGCGCGGCTACACCTGCGAGTCGCGCTGGTCCCTCTCCGACCGCGGCTCGTCGTACAACCTCTCCGTCGGCGGCGGCGGCACGCAGCCGCCCTCGCCGACGCTGAACAAGATCCTGCCCTTCTCCCTCCCGCTCGGCCTGCAGCCCTCGAAGCGCGCGTCGAGGCAGTCGACCGCGTCCGTGCGCGCGCAGCAGCATCCCTTCCCGACGACGACGACGACGACGGGCGCGCCGTCGCCCCTCGCGGCGCCGGTCCCCCCCGCGACGCCGACGCCGACGCGCAAGCTCGTGAAGAGCCTCAGCTCGTTCAACCTCCGCAGCGCGTTCGCGAGCACGATGTCGATCGGCGGCGGCGCGAAGAAGGTGCTCGTCGTGAGCGGGCTCACCGGCGACGACGCCGAGTTTGGCGACGTCGAGACCCGGATCGCCGCGCTCAAGGCTTGGTGCGAGGTACGTTTTTCCTTTTTTCCCTTTTCCTCTCCCCCCTTTTTCGAAGAGAGAGAGAGCCCCTGACTGAGCGCGCTTTTTTTTTATCATATCTAGGAAACCGGCGAGGTTCGCCGGGTCTCGCGCAAGGACAACGGGAACGTCCACGTCCACTTCCGCAAGGCGAGCGACGCCGAGAAGGCGTGCGCGATCCGCGGACGGATCTTCATCGAGAAGGTGGGCTCGGTCGTGTTCGACTGCGTGACCAAGTCCAAGTACGGCTCGAGCTCGAGCTCGAACGGCAAGCAACGGTCGCGGCGGCCGCTCGCGCCTGCCGCGTCGTTCACAGTGTAAGAGGGGAAAAAAGAGAACCCCCGCGGAAACAACGCGCCGGACGCGTCTCCCGTTTCCCCCCTCCTCTGCCTTCCGACATCGCGCAATCGAACGGACCTCCCCCCTCCGGCTTTCGCTGCACATATCGTTATCGCTACACCTATCCGTCGCTCTGCATCCCATCGTCACCCTACCCGCCGTACCGGCCGCTCGCATCGATCGTTCTTGCTCGCCCGGACCCCAATCCGTCTCTCCCCTGGTTATTATCACGAACATACGAAACGCCCACGCTCTTTTGATTTTTTTCGCATCGTTAAGGAAAGCCTTGACGATCAACACACACACACTCGTTCATCAATCTCTCGGAATCATCTGTGCCATCAGCTCACACACACACACACACTCCTTTGTGTCACTACCATCTGGGTTTATCTCTCTCTTCGAAAATCGTCGCTCGTATCGCTAGAATGGGTTTGTGGTCCTCTCGTCGCTGCTCTGCTCGCTGTCGTTGCTCCAGGCTCGTGTATCCCTCACACCTCCCTCCCCCCCTTCCTTCTCCCCGAACCCTCTCAACTTTTGCGTCTTTTTCTTCGGACAGGGACCTTCCTTCATTGAGTAATCGGGTCGCGACCGGTTTTTAGGTTTTTTTCGGTCGTCGTTGTTCGCGTTTTATTCGAGACATTTGCACAAAAAAGTAGCCAAGGGTATTATCGATCCACCCCCCGCATTTTCCGTATATACATTATAACCGACGTCTTGTGTATTAATCACCCAATCTGTGCCGAAGAGGAAGGGAAGGGAAGGGAAGGGAAAAAAGAATGTATAGTGTTTTTAGATAGAATCTTGTTTTGGGGCACGAATGCGAAGTCTTTTTCGGTCGAAGATGCAAAATGGCATGCCATCAGCAGCTGGAAGGTCTGTGCGAGGGGACGGGCTGCTGGGTCCAGGGTCGTCGTGATGTTGGGGCATCGTTCGTGATGATCCCTTCTTTCCGGTAGTCGCGAGACTCTCGAGAGGGTAAGCTTGCGAGAACGTTTTCCTTCGGGCTTTGCGCGCCGCCCGACCGCGTTCTGCTCTAACTTGCACATCTCGTCACAGCTAACGTACACCCTTCGTCGATCTGCGGCGAGAAAGATGCACGGAAATGAACGAGGGGTTTGGCGCGGCACGAGGCAGAGTTTTGGCTTTCAAGTCGGGCCTCGTGCCTTTTCGCATATGAAGGCGCTGGCCGTTACTTTACTTTTTGCGTCCTCAGGATGTTTCTCCGCCGGGACGACGTGCGTGGGGCTCCTCCGTCCAGACTGGTGTGTGACTCGACGTTTCTGAACGAAGACGAAGGGGGGAAACTCCCTTCCGTAATCCTTATCAAAACTTTAATCGGGGTGGAAGGCACGCGTACTCTGTTTTTGTTTTACTTTTCTCGCGGCGCATGGTGGTGACGTGTGGGTCGAGAGACTCGCGGAAACTCGCGCTTGCATCGTGCGCCACGCTGCCTGTCAGGGCGATAACCCAAGAAGGTAGTACGACGGCCGTTATGTCAGTAATATTGCCGGTCATCTTGTAGGTAAAGCTGTTCGACGAGCTGAGATGAGGAGGAAGGGGGAAGGATACTGCGGAACACGTTATTTGATGCGTATTTCGTGGAAAATCAAACGATGATGCCTCGAATCACAAATCAAGATAACGAATTTGGAATTTGACAGCGTGATGCGCCCGATGGGAGAGCCGATGGGTCGCCGCCGCCTCTGCGCCGCCTCCTCTTTCTTTTTTCCGCTTCTCAGCTCTGATTTTTTCTTTCTCTCTTCGCCACAGCTCGCCCGGGTGACCACGGGACCCCACTTTCTGCGCAGGTGCAGGTTCTATACGACGTGTTCGGTTCCACCGCCAGCGATGACGAAATCGCTCGCGGTGTGGCGATTTTTGGTACATATGCGTGTGGCGCTTCGGAGCCTTGGTGGTTGTCTTGCCTTATCGAGCCGTTTGTGCCGGCGCGTCCTCTCGACCCCCCGCCACCGACATGTTCTCCTTGGAATGCTTGCACCATGCGCGGTATCTGGTCGAACGCGGTACAAGGGGCGACCCTTCGAGCGAGCGGCAATACTCAACGCCGGGGCCTTGACAGCACCCTGCTATGTATACATGGCCTTGCAGTTCGCCGTCCCCGAGTTCGACCATCAACGTTCGCCAGTATAGGACGGCATGTCTCACTTTGATAACCGTCTTTCCTTCCGTGACGTACATATGTCCACGCTTTGCGCCGCCGCTTTGCTGGGACGCTAGGGACGGCTTAGGTATACTCGGTCCCCGCATCCAACGGCGCCCACGTGTATGTCTGGACGGTTTCAGCTTGTGAGCGGCGAGAGTGCGCGCGCGGTTGACGAGGCTCGGGAGCTCGCGAAGATGCACCGCATGGTACCTTGGTAAGGTATTCTTGGACTTGGTGCCTGATACCTCTGTCCCATCTCTTGTCGTATCTTGTCTTCCCCTTGTCGCCGGCTTTCTGGTATCCTGACGGCTTTCTGAAGATGCGATCCCATCAAACGGTCCTTACGGGCGTCATGTATAACAGCGCTCGTCCACGGATAGATTTCACCGGCGTTGATCTTGACCGATAGCCTATGTATGCATGTCAAGCTGCGACGGGTCTGCTTGGTCTTCGTCTCACGATCCGCGCAACTCTCTCAGATCCCGTTCCTGCTCTTCGTAATCGAGCCGGAGCCCGGACCAGGGCCGCGCCAAGGGCCACGTCTCGGTCGGGCATCATCTCGCACGCTCAGCGGCTTGCATCGTCCTCAAATTCCGTTTTGTCAGGTTTGGCCCGTTGGTTCGGTCGCACCCCTGGCCGGATCGTGTTGCACCTATGATCTGCCTAAGATGTCATCTGTATCAACGATCGTGATCGGCATCGGGAGCGTGGCGGTTCACTAGCGTATGGACCCGGGCCTGTCTGCATTGAAACGTCCGGATACATTTGTGTTCTGCTTACTCGAAACCTATAGTTCAATGGCAGGTCCTATGTCCAGCTCGACACATAGCCAGGAACGGTGATTATTTCGATTTGTACCGTGGAGCCAAGGACTCGCAATCATGGAGATCGACATGTGCTGGGAGCTAAGCAAGGTTCGTCATCCCGCTCGAGCCAGTCAGCGACGGGATCATCCGGTTGAATGTACTATTCATCTCCTAGGCACACCAAACGGACGTCGAGGCTTCCGCCTATATTGAACGCTTCCCCGACGTCCCCGCGCCGACTTCATTATGGAGCAGCTATCACATGAGCGGGTTCCGCGATTTGGCGAGGACGCCTCGAGGCTCGCGGCTCGTCGACGCGGATCTCACGCGCTGCCCGTATCGGGCACCGTCGATCCAGTCTGGCCCTCGGCAGGCATTGGTCGAGTTCGACGATGTATCTGTCTATCGTAATCCTCGACATTCCCCTGCATCGACCGGGTGCCCCGATCGAGCTCAGATATCGCAAGTGAATCAGGTACGAGCGCCCATATCTGGCGCCCTACAGAGACGCTGAACGCGCGTATCAGACGATCTGCTGCACATGGACAGGCGCTATAGCGGGCCTTGTCTTAGACCGACGGAGCTATCAGGTCGCGTTTCGGCGTGCCGTCGAAATCGTCAGTGCTATCGGGGGCGTTCTGGACGCTCGGTCGATGCGCGTTCTGAACCCCCAACCGGCTCGCATTAGGACCTGTGGGAGCCGTTGATTATGGTGGACTCAGGGATCAGTAATGACGCATTACCGCAGTAAGACGGCCGTTCACGATATGTTTTGCCATCTTCCGCTCGAGCGAATCGACGCACAGCGAGTTTTCGTTTCACCCACCACCTGGCGATGTCCTGCTCATCCAGTGGCTATAACCGCATTGGCATCCCCTCTGCCCTTGTTCCCCTTTGGGCCCATCATTCCAGCCTTCGCCAAACCTTGACTCGAACCTTAGTTCCCCCTCGCAACAATATGTTGGAATCGCCACGCTCTAACGACGCGTTTGCCGATAATTAATCCGACTTTAGGTATGCCGTCAAGAGCTTCTTCATTTTACCGGTGTCCGCTGACCATGTGAACCGTCGACATTTCCAAGGTCCTTGCGCATGCTCCGCGATGCGTCCGCACCCTGGTCTGTTCCTAAGATGGTGTCGGTGGCTGAGACCTTCCACGGTGGAGCACCGGTGCCGACTGTATGGCTTCTCCAATTGTACTCCTCGACGGAACCTTAGTTGGATCTTCTACGAACGAGGGTCGTGCTCGTGCTCGGGGGCGTTATTCCTGGCACTTTCTATATAGCGAGGATAACTAGGTATAATGTCGTGCAGATAGTGGCAAGGCGCACCTCGGCCGTTACGAGAGAAATATGGATATACCCGCGCCTCCTCTCACAAAATGCCAGAGCAGGCTCGCATCCTCAAATCAGAGCCGGCCGAGACGTATGTTCTCTTCTACGCCTCCGAATGATGTCTACATATACCTGCGTGGTTGCGGAGAAGGACATCAGCCTATGCGCAATATCTCCTTTGCGTTCTCCGTGGCTACACAACTAGTTGGCAAGACCGAGAACGCTCTAGGATCCCCGACCAGGATGCGAGCGTTATTCACCGACGTTCTATGCGAGCGGCAGCCTGTGTCCCGATCGTGTTAATCCTGGGTCTCTCAGTTCCGCCCGATATAGTACAGATCGGTTTGCTGTTTCCTCTATTGGAGCTGGTGTTTATCGAGATCGGTTATTGCGTACGGTCCATTGCAGGTCGTTTGAGCGCCCGGATTGAGTTCACCCTCTGACTGGGGCAGTACGCCATCGTGGTTTCATCGGGGTATACATGCGACGTCCGCTGTGTCAACTGTCCTCGCCATAGTGTCAGGTTCAAGATTGTCTGCCGCCTGGCGCGTAACTTTCGTGGCAGAAAATCTCCGCAGCGTCAACGGACAAGGGCTTTGATCGTTGTGAATCTCAGTACGGTCCCTAATCAACGTCGACTGTAACATCTGCAGGGCATCACCAGATGGTAGGAGACGTACCGGAAGCCGCTCTGTTCAGTCACACTCTAAACCAACGCCGTCAGCGACTACGAACGGCAATATGTCTTGTGTCGAGGATCCATCCGACGCAAGATTCGCGATGGTTGAACGCCCTGTCATTTCTGACACAGAGCAGCATATGACAGGAGCAGTTCGCGGTGTGAATAAAAGAGCTCTTCGTCGTCGTATAGCTCAACCCGCATCTCCTCTACCCTTGCGACCCACCACCCTTCTGTTCTCTATCATGTTCTTCCAAACTGTGAGAAAACCCTCCGGCATCGTGTCCGTGCGCTGTGCTGACGTCCATCGCAGGCACTCTTTGCGACCCTCTCTCTTGCGCTTTGCGCCGTGGCCGTGCCATGCAAGCCGTCGGATGTAGTGTCCAGTGTCACTGCCGCCGCCGCCGCTGCCCCCACAACCACGCACACCCGCAAACACCACTGGACGACTTCTGCGTCCTCCGCGTGGTCCGTCCACACTTCTCAGACGACTAGCTCGTGGACGAGCACCGCGGTCCCGTCCACCGCCACCGCGGCAGGAAGCTCTGCTACTGGCGCAGGGCAGTGCAACACCGGTCCCGTACAATGCTGTAACAGCGGTATGTTCAAGCCCCTCACTCTCGGATGAAGAACAATCTTGCTGATCTGTGTATTCAAGTCCAATCCTCCAAAGAAGATGCCGTTTCCAACGTTCTGGGTGCACTTGGAATTCCGATCCAAGACACTGCCGTGCCCGTCGGTCTGGCATGCGTCAGTACCCGTTAATGAACCGAACTGTCAGGAGGGTTGAACTAATTTGCTGCTTCCTTCAGACTCCCATTAACGTCATTGGTTTGGGCTCTGGCGCGTCGTGCACCCAACAGCCAGTTTGCTGCGAGAACAACGACTACAACGGCGCTGTGGCGCTCGGATGGTAAGCATCGGCGCTTCATGGAGATGCACACGGAACGCGACTCACGCTTTTGATTATAGCTCGCCTATCAACCTCTAATTTCCTGGAGTATTCCTTGGATCTGCGCTCTCCATTCGCCGTCACAACACGCTATATCTCTGACATTGTTATCGCTCGGGTAGTCGCATTCGTGTACCATCGCTATTTTTTGTGGAATTCATCATCATTTGGGCGAATATCAAGCGCGAACTGCTCCTAAGGACACATTATACTCGGACAGAGCTCATTACATACCTCGCACAGCTTATGCATCCAGTGGAAGCGCCGCGTTGGAAGGATGGAGAGAGTTGCCCGACGCAAGGGCTGATGCGTCACGTCTGTCACTTGATCATGCGTGCTTGTGACTTCACGCGCTTGCCTCTTGTCGTCCGCGCTCAGCGAGCAATCCGTTTGAATCATTCAGGCATCGGCCCTGTACATCTTGCGGCACAGAAATACGGAGCCTCGGATCAGAGCGTGCTAGGAGGCGCAGCTGACGAGCAGATGTCGTGCCTTGGGCGGTTGTGTAAGGATGAGTCACGGTTCGGGTCGTGTGGGGCTGCCTGGTGGTTTTACGCACATGTCGTGTCCATGGGTTGATGGCCAAGGAGCTGCAGGCCAGCAATCCAAGCTATCCGGTCTGAATTTACTCCCACCACGAACGGGCACCTGCACATCGCGGAACGCCTGCGGAACGCTACGAATTCCTCGAGATCATGGCTCGATCAGCCGCCTTTGTCAACATTCACCGAGCTGGTCGTGCAGGCGCGCGATTTGTGCCTCGTATTCTTCTTCGGCTTGATGTGGATTACAGAAGGTCATCGCTTGGCATGCTTATGGTATGTCAAACCTCGCTTGCTTCGTCATCCCGAACGCGACTTACCAACTTCCATACGAAAGCCCCTCCCCCAACACATGCGCTTGGGATGTGTGTATCGCATATAACCTGAAGATTCGCCACGTTCCATAACGTTGGCCCATCATTCGAACCGGTCACAGGATGAGATCCCTTCTCTTCGCCTCGTTCTTGGTTATCGCCTGCGTGCCTGCACTTGCCTCAGAGGTCAAGCCGTTTGAAGTCGACATATCGAAAGGCGATGTCGAGCGCATGAAGATTTTGGCAGCAAATGCTCGCCTTCCGCATTCTCCTGCGTTTATTGGGGGGGATTCTACCTATGGAGTCGATCTTGACGTGTTGGAGTCGCTTCGTAATGAATGGATCCACGGCTTCAACTGGAATGAACAACAGGCATCGATCAACAGGTACCGTGATTTTTTTTTCATAGGTATGGCGGCTGTACTAAATTCGGACGTCACGGCAGCTTTCATCAGTACACGGTAGAAGTTGAGAATGCTACCGTCCATTTCGTCCACGAGAAATCCGACGACCCGGACGCCATCCCACTGATTATGCTTCACGGATGGCCTGGTAAGTCTGTCATTCGAGGATCTCTGCCGTGTCATTGATTGGTGTCCAGGCTCATTTCTCGAGTATTTGCCTACCGTGAAACCCTTGACTCAGCGCGCAACGAACAAACAAGGACAAAACGGTGAGATCGTTGTAGCCTTCTTCACGCATCGTGGCCTCAACTCACCTCTACTCACAGTCTCCTTCCACGTCGTTGTTCCGTCCCTTCCAGGTTTCGGCTTCTCTTCGCTTCCTGCTTTAGATTGGAAGACCACCGACACTGCACGTATCTTCGATAAACTCATGGTAGATGTTCTGGGTTACAAGACTTATACGCTGTTCGGAAGTGACTGGGTAAATCGTCATCCCTCATGTTTTCTGATATCGTTGACATTGTTCTCCGTAGGGTTCTGATGTCGGATACAGACTGTACGCCAACTACACAGAGACCGTTCGAGCAGCGCAGTTTTCGTTCTTGCCGTTCTTCCCTCCGACTTTGGCTGCAGCACAGAGCGCCAACATCAGCTTATCCGCGTTCGAGATCGCTCAACTCGAGATCAACGACGCATTTGAGTCGCGAGGACTCGGCTATTTTCAAGAACAGGAATGGAGGGTGCGTGTCCATTGTGCCAGCTACTCTCTTACCGTCGGAGGATGCAAGCCGACATATCACAATGTAGCCGAACACGATCGGCTTAGCGCTGTACGACAGCCCGCTCGGACAGCTTCAATGGATGGCGGAACTGTGGACAGGACTTTCGGATCCGCGTCGCGGCACCGGTCCTTCAGTCCTCACCGACACCGCTATTCTGACCGAAATATCCCTCTACTACCTCAGCAAGTCTTTCCTCACTTCGGTCTGGATTTACTCGCAAAACACGTTCGTTCCGTCCTACGACGTCCCCCACCCATCGACGCCGATGGGCTTTAGCGCGTTCCGGTACAACTCTGGATGGCCGCGAGCTTATGTAGAGCGCGTCGGCAACCTGACGTTCTTGAACGGTGCGCGATAAAATCCTCAGGTCGATTTCGTCGGATGCGGCTTACACTGCCTTACTCAGAGCACGACTTCGGCGGACATTTCCCGGGTTTGGATAACCCGTCGGCACTGGTGGCGGATATACGCGAGATGGGAGGCTATTACCTTGGACAGTGAGGTTGTATGCCGCTCGTATTGCAGCCTAACAACGGGCCCTGAAACGGATGCCCGTGAGCAAGCCGTCACATCGGTTGTGTAATCACGTTCACTCCTGCAATCGCTTCGTGGTGGTAGCAAATGCCCTGAGTCGCGCACGACTCGGTATGCATGTAATCCTGCTGAACGACGTATCGTGAACTACCCGGACCAGTCAAGTGGGCCATGTCGAACAGCCTTGATATAGGATGTACGTTACAACGAGCATCGATGGTCGCGTTCGTTGTGGTGGCAAGGATAAGCACGATGAAGGCATAATAACTGCTCCGGAAGTAGGACCAGAGCGATCTCTTCCCGTGACGAACATGCCGTGCTCTGATATATCTTCTGACAACATATTATGCGAGGCAACGGTATAGGGTTAGCCTTGGGCATGCAAAGGCGAATAGAAACTACGAGGTAGATGAGGACGAGAGCTGCACGGACGACGGCACCTCGGTGGCTTGCCTTCTACGCCGACCCCCTGTGCCCATGGCCCATACCATGCTAATTCACGCAATCTACCAGAACTAAGCATGCCATCCCTCAGTCATGAAGGCACTGCGAACTCCAGCGAGATGATACGTATGAGCACTGCGTCTCATCTGACATCAAGTGCACGGGAGTCGCATAGGAACGCGATTCATGCTCCTGAGCATAGTTCGCATATCAAGCTCTGATTTCTTGGAGTGTTTCTCGAATCTGCGCTCTCCATTAGCTTTCACAACGAGTTGTTTCTTTGACATTGTTATGGCTTGAATATTCGCATTCGTGTATCATCTCCAGATGGTATTTCATTATTTGGGCGAGCTTGAGGTTCTAATCACGCTTCTTGCGCGGAAAGAATTGGTCTCGGGCATCGGACAGCTCATGAGTTCAGTACAAGCGAGGGAGAATGGAGACAGCTGGACGGAAGGGCAATCACCCTTGACTGGGAAGTCATGCCAACATTAGTTCAAGCGCCGCCCACCCTCACTGCACTACTGCTGTCCATCGCAACACCGGTCTGCATTGTGAGCACAGTCGAAGGTGACTGTGCAGCTTGGCGAACACCACTGAACAAGCTCGTAGTGCAGACACGCCGAGAAGTTGCCGACCTCGGGTCTTAAAAGGCTTGTGGAAACACTTACCAAGGATCTAGATCATGGACTTCGTCGTTCAACACCCTTTTTCTAGATGCTTGTTCATTTGTGCAGAACCTATGAAATTATGGCTTATATACTGATTGGAAACAACTGTTCTTTGCGAGAGCCCGCCCATTCATCGACCAAGAACTACTTCGTAGAATCCGGGGTGGTTAGGACACCGATTACCCGAGATATGGATGGTCTTTCAGATGGATCGTTGTCCCAACAAGCTTCCAAGAGAGCCCAAGTGCCGTCATCTAGCCCCAAATCATAGGCTCCTTTTGGACGTAGCGGCCGCTCGCCTGACAAAACTCTTGCGAATACTGTCCATTCTGGCAAGTGAGGAAAAATTTGCTCTCCGCAGAATATCTGACAGAAGCGTTAGATCTTGTGAAATGGCGTGCCATGTCTGAGCAAGGCTCACCTCCCACGAGGCCATAGCAAATGCGTATACGTCCGTCTCCCTCGTCGGCTGACCTGGATTGCTATTCTCTGCAAGCTCAGGAGCCATGTATCGCATCGTCCCCCCGCTCCTCGAAATAGATGGCGTAAAGGATTTGGGTCCAAGGACGGTTCTCGCCAAACCAAAGTCGCCCAGACGCGCACGTCTGCTCCCGTCCACAAGGATGTTGCGCTGAGAAATTGTGAGCAAGTCAAGGCATATTCGGTCAGTGTATGATATTCACCCCTTTTATATCTCCGTGTATCATCGCGCTTGCATGCATGTATTCCAATCCGCAAGCAACATCTGTAACCTGCCAATTTCAGCTGCAGATGATCGTTCGGCAAGGTACATATAACCCACCAGTTGCCTACGATTCGCTCGCGGGAATTTCTGGAGATAGGTTATCACATCTCCAAACGCCATCCATTCCGAAACTATACACAAATTGTGTGACTGAGAAACACCGAGGAAAGGAACAATATTTGGATGAGCAAGTTGTTTCCAAAACACAGCCTCTCTGCAGAAGTCCTATGTGACCGGATCAAACTGCGTACAACGCCATGATATCAGTTGGGCACGGACCAGTACACATTTCTTGCGGTCTGCGACATGCAAACGCATGATCTTGAGCGCGACAAGATCTCCGTTATATAGGCCTCGCCATACGTCCGCATAACCACCACAGGAATATGCCCCAGTTCCCTTCTGAACGATATTATCTATTCGATAAGACGCCGGAAGGATACCTTCCTGTCCACATAATCGGCTCAGATCGCGAACCAGACGCCGATAATTTGGGTCGGTGCGCGACGTGATGTCAAGGAGCTGAATGGATTTGCGGTAAGCATAGTTTCTACGTTATATTTGCGATCACTGACTTCGTCCAATTGATTAATGCGTGCTTTCGGACTGGAATCCACCTCCCTGAGCTCCAATTCCAGCTCCTTCCTCCTAATCGCCTCTTCCTTTTGCTTGATCTCATCCTCCTTATTTCTGATTACCTGCTCCTTCCGCTTGACTTCATCCTCCCGCCGCTGGACTATCAATTCCCTCCTCGTGATCTCTTCGTCCTTCGTCTTGACCTCCTCCAACTTCTGCTCCAACACTGCCTCCAATCTCTTCAATGTTGCGCTTGTCACCGAGGAAGTAGGAAACGGTGTTTGCTTCACCTCCGATGGCTTGCCCACCTTCTCCTCCTGCTCCCCCGTCCCTTCCGCGCGTTGATTCGCATCATCGACTTTCCGCCGTAACTGCGACACGGGCAGCGGCAGCGTCGCGCGAGCGCCCCTGCCTGCAGACATGAGCGTTTTTTGACGCTGAGTCGGAAGCGCGTCGAGCTCTGGCGTCTTCTCCGGTCTCGGAGTCGCGCTTTCGTTGCGCGCTTTAGACGCCGGCCACGTCCGCTGTGATCTCTCAACGCTTCCATTCGGTCTGGGCCCGTGCCCATGAGGACGAGAGTGTGGATCTGGTCTAGAAGAGTGCACGCCTGTGGATGGATGCCGAGCGGGCACAGGTCCATCAAAGCTGCGGTGCGAGCCTGCCTTGCTGCCGGCCGACTGCTGTCGCCGATCGGCATTCGAGTAGCTCTGCCGGCTCTCAATGCCCGCGTCACGCGGACGTCCGGTGGAACTGACGGGAGCCGGGGGTTGGCGGGGCCAGCTGGGCGAGCGCCCGTTCAGGTGTCTCCCGGGACCAAAGTCGTTCGGGAACTGGCGGGGGCGCCGCCGCGTCCCCCCATATGAGCCCGAAGAGGAGCTCCCATCCGACGAGACGCTGGATACGTTATCGCCTCTGAACCACGGCACCGCCTCTGGTGGGCGGATGGCGAGCAGCCTGGGCGGGGGTTGCTGGCCTGCGATCGTCTGGTATTGCGACTGTCCTCTGCCTGTTCCACTGCCTCCTCTGTGCTCTTTCTGCTGTGTCAGCTGTCTTTTCTCGCGCTCGATGAGGTCCGCGATTGCCTGGTGCTCTGCAATCATCTGCGCCTGCCATTCAGCATCCACCTCGGCCCCAGCGGCCCAGCGGCGCTCCTGGCGTTCGCGTTCGAGCGCACGGTCGAAATGCGTCTGAGCCAAGCGGATAATATCGGCCATTGCGGCGTCGTACTCGTCCCTAGCTGCCGAGAGCTGAGAAGCGGAGGGCTTGGAGCCAGTGCCGGAGGGAGAGGAGGTCGTTGTAAGGGTGGCGAGGCGCGACTCGTACTCATCCCGGACCCTCTCAACAACGGACTTCATGCTGCGCTCGATCCGGAAGCGGAGCCAGCCCTTCCATGCCTCGTCGGGCTCAAGGTCAATCGCGGCTGCGGGTGTGGACGGGGGATCCGGGGTGGGGGTAGAAGATGGATTGGCGTCGTTCGGGGGAGAACCAGGGCTGGGAGAGTTGGGAGAGTCCAGGACAGAGTGGGTGGGCTCCGCAAGAGTAGTCAAGGTCTCCATCGGGGCTTGCAGGTCTTAAGATCACTGGGATGGATTATGCCGGGCCAGACACGATATGATCTTTACCAGACAAAACGTGGATGGGTGTCGGGTGTTACGTGGAATATCAACGAGCAGCGTGTACGATAGGCGATGTGATACGCTGGGAGTGATTGCACTGGGTCCACCATGATGTATATTCGAGAGTGGACAACGTTGACAACGCGAGGCTAATGCAGGTAAGAGCTGTGTGAAACTGATTATACATACTGACTTGCTTACGACTCGCGAGATTCATCTTGGCGACCAGGCTGACCGAACCTCGAGTCCATCCATCGAAGTCATAAACACAAGCACAGCAGCACGCTGGCGCCCATGTTGACAACACAGGCTGCGTATATGTTCCTGTTTGAAGGCGCGAAGCTCGCCGCCGTCCAGTTGCCTGCCCTCGCCGTCGGACTGGACGACCTCGGATCCTCATCCGCGTATTTCATGTCTCCCTCTCGCCGCTGGACGTCTGGCAGAGGTGCCCGTTACATAGTTCCGATAATTAGCGCCGACGGGAATGTGGCGGAGGTCGAGCAGAATGTGAAGCACATCGCGAAGGGAGACATGGTAAGTTTCGGATGCGTCTCGGAAGTGGATGATGATGGCACAGTGACCAGTTCTTGTCCTTAACTTTGGCCTAAACGAACGCCATGGTCGGCAAGAGTACTCAGAAATACGCGCTCATTTCCAGATGCCGGGCTACCAAAGCAAGCTCGCTCTTCCAACGGCCCTTCACCGTGAAGCCATTTCCCTCCTTCCTTTATCCTAGTTTTCAGCAGGTGTCGATCCGGCGGCCGCAATATCGTTATCCGCCAACCTCGTCACCGCTTTCCACGCGTTCACGGCTGACCTCGGCCTTGGACTCATCCGCGACGCGTCCGGCAAGCCGTTGAACATTCCAGCTGACACGAAATCGGACCGGATTTTGGTTTGTGGCGGCGCCTCAAGTGCAGGGCAGTATAACATCCAGGTCACGGTACGTGTTCTCAACGAGGAGGCCTCTCAGACTTTTTGTATCTGTAGTGCTGACCACCAACATGTACATCCACATAGCTCCTTGCCCTAAGTGGATACACACATATCATCACCGCACCGTCGGCTTGGCACCACGCCGATCTCCTCTCGCTGAGCGCCTCGTGTGCGGTGAACTATGCGGCGCCCACCGTCCTCAAAGATATCGGCGGCCCCATCGAGTATGCGAACGACGCCGTCGGCGACTGACAGGAGACGATAGTCAAGTACTCTCCGCTGGTCAAGCCTGGCTTCCTGATCGTGATCTTGCACCCATCTGCTATACGGGCGGGAGGCCGGCTGTGACGCAGAGCGTTTTGTCTGTCCCACTGTATGAGTGCTGTATGCATTAATTCTTGATGAACGCGCCCGTCAAACTGAGTAAAGACCCTTCTGCACCATTTGCCTGATGCAACGATTCTCCACCTTGCGTGTCACGGTCAGCATTCCGAATATCCACTTCAGGGCAGCTTCATTTCGCACGACAAGCCACTTACTATTGAGAGGTTGATGTCGAGACCTCGTCCATGCGCGTTCATGGCCTTCTTGAGTGCTTGCGAGACCGCGAGAGGAGACCAAGTCAGTATTACGTCCATGACGCCCTCGTCAGATGAACTGAACGACCCCGGGTAGGTTACACAATCAACCAAACCAAGCGGTGCACCTCGCTGTCATAATGCTATTTACTGGTTTCGAAAGCGTGATCGCCACACTCTGGTCAGTACAACTCCCTTCTTCGCTGCTGCTTGCCTACCTCTCAGTCTTGACACTAGGTCCATGCAAGACGTCGATGGTCCGATGATCGCAGAGTCGGTGTACTCGGATATCTTCGCATCCGATTCAGAATTCATAGACTCCGATGATATAGCATATGCCCTTGATGCTGCTACACGGAAACTCCGCGATGCCCATGCTGATCTGAGTGGACGGGCGACGTACGTTCACTTTGGCTTGTGCTACAGTTGTTCTGGAGCCACGATGTGTAGGAATGCGATCGTGGTGTTTCCGGAGCGCAATGATGATATGTAGATTCGACGTAAAACGTTGCCATGATCCTTGTTTCGTGTTTCATCAATTCCATCCATCAAGTGGGTAATGATGCCGTAACACATTCAGACGTTTAGTGTCGCCTTACTCCGGGGTTTTTTTTAATGCGCGCCAGAAATAGCAGCGAGTTATACGCACACCAGGGCCAGGCGGTTGATGATGTATCTCGGAATGAATAATAGGCCTTTCGAGCAGACCGTGTCCGTGTGATACAACGTTTGTCTCGCAACCTCGGAGTAGAGGGTGAATGGTGAGTAATACATGCTAATACATGGTACTTGAGGATACTTATATGATGTTATATGATGTCTAACAATACAGTATGTAGCGACCTGGTCATATGTATTCCAATTCCGACTCCACATCGGACACAGCTTTCTCGTCCTGTGGTTGCTCCCGAACATCCTCGCCTGTATCGTCATTCCGCTGTGAAGGTTTAGGAACCTCCTCGTCACTTTCCAATTCGTCAACTTCAGACTCCTCGTCAAAAATTGCTGCGTGCAGTGTGGTGCTCGCCATCCTGGCGGAAACCGCATCCATCCGGGGCGAAGTGGAGGAGGAAGACGGAGGACGGCCCGGTTTGCGTGCGGATTCAGATGGCGTCGCCGGCGCCGGTGCAGTTGTAGAACTCCCTCGGGATGGGCCGGGTTGCGAATTGAGCGTTGACCATCGACATGATTCTAATCGGGACACTGTTCGCTTAACCATCCACAGACTCGCAGCATAACGAAGGCAATTACCTGCATGCTGCTCGAGTTGGAACTTTTTCTCAAACATGCCCCCGCAGTTCACACATTTAAGCTTCGCCCAGCTCATTTCGGCCTCTCGGCAAGAACCTTCGACGAAAAGAAAGAAGCATGCCGAGTTAGTTCTGAGGCTAAACGCCACCGTCCTCGTGGCTTTCGCAGGAAGGAGGTTCGCAATGAGGAAACGGAACGTACGACGGTGACGTTCCATCGCGTCCTTCCGGTTGAACGGCTTGCCGCACTTCGGGCAGGCGTATTTTCGCTCGCCCTTGTGTATGGTCGAGTGTCTCCTGAGATCGTTCTCCCGAGTAAAGACCTTGCCGCAATTCGGCTCGTTGCAGGGGTAACGGCTGTTATGCCACCGCATGTGATCTACATATGACGATTCGTAGGACGCGGGTGTCAGTGCGGTTACGGGAGTAGAAGGACGAAAACGTCACCTCTGAACGCGGTAGCAGTGTCGAAGGTGCTGCCGCAGTCCTCCCGGTCACATCGATACACTACACTCGCCTTGCCCCCTGCAGTCTCGTCTCCAGTACTTTGACTCCGGGTGCGTGTACCTGTATCCCGTCATCAGTATGAGAGCTCCTCGACTCAACGTAGAGACACACCAGGCCCATCTACGGCCATGCGATCCTCTTCCAGCTGGAATGTGGACGTAGACGCAGAGCAATCAGATAAATGTCGCGTGATCTTGTTCTCGGAATCTGGAGACCCTGGCACAGATGCAGCGGATTGACGGGAGACGCCTTCGATGCTCAATACGGCATAGCCGGGCGGGTTTGCCTGCGTATGTCGCCTTCGCCGACGCTTCTTCGAGTCGTGAGGATTGCCGCCTTCCTGCAGTACGGGAGGTGCCCATCGATATTTCGGCCCGTCTTCGTCTGCAAACGAAACGTTGTAGGCACCCATACCCGTCGCTTCCGGAGCGTTGGGAGCTGCGGATGGAGCAGAGGCAGCTCCTACCGTCCCGATGGCCCATCCTTTGACAACGCCGCCTGTCTGAATCATGGCCACCTCCGAACGGCGAATGCTCCACGGGTGACTGGCTACAGGCACAAGAACGATGAGCTGAAATGATCAAGTAGCTGAGTGCAGCACTCACTGGAGTAGCTCGGACGAGCATACGCGGCGGAAGGCGCACTGACCACGGGTCGCAGTTCTGCCTCTGCTTGCGGAGGAGACGACAGTGCGTTCGGACTGACAGTCCGACTCCCCTCCGCGGAGCCCTCGGATGACAAGGGGTAAGGCGAATATCGCTGCTTGGACGCATGCCGCCCCTTCCGCGAGGCCGACGGGCTACTGCTCCTCCGTGGCCGGGAGGTGCTGCTCGATGGATCCCCGTACGTGGCATCGTAATCACCTGTACCGTCGGAGTGCCCGAAATAAGTCGGTCGGGGGAGGACATTGTCCGGATGGTCTTGTGGGCGCCTGTAGGCATCCGGTTCATCTGGATCTTGCAGGATCTTCGCCAGTCCTAGGGGAGGCCGCGCTGGCGGTGCGTTACTTCGTCCTGGCGTCGCAGATGATGCAGGGCGTTCTGTAAGCGAAGAAGACCGGACACGCCGAGGGTCTTCGTTGGCTGCGCCCTTTGACGACTGAAACGGAACTATTACTCTCGATGTCGACAACGGGTGATGCGACTAGAGAAAACAGAAATTACCGGCGTCGCTCTGAAACGTGTTTGGAACGCGGAAGGGCTATCAGGCGGAGGATATTCTAGCGCTTCGTCGGGGTCGATTTGCATCCCGTCCTCCTGATCTCCCGCAGACGCGGGAGGAGCGGGGAGGTGAGGAAGCGTCGATATCCTGAACGGAGGGAGTTGTATGCCCGCTGGTGATGACGACGACGCTGTATCATCCGTCAGCTCAGACGTTGGAGCATTGAGTACGTCTTCGACATTCATGAGAAATATATATGGCTCTACGTAATGCCGCCGCACAATCGTCGTCAATCAATCATGAGCATTGTGCACGAGATGGAAAGATATCACCACACCAACCTTAAAGAGCGCGGCGTCGTCGGAAGCAAAGTCGCGTAGGGTGCTGGTGCCCCTTGGTCCCTGATCTTGATCACGATAGCAGCTTATAATCGGTGGGGCATCAGCAGAAGGGGGTGTGGCGTGCCGCTGTACGCCACAGTCATAGATTTATACATTTGGCGGTCGGGATCAGCCGCAGGCTGTTGTCGGCCTCAAAAGGTCATCCGCATCAGGGCTGATGATTGTCTGTGAGCATGGTTCCCGGGAAAAGACAAAGAAACCGCGCCAAAACGCCTGTTCGAGCCTAATCCGGTCCGAGAAGAAGCTTCATTTCCTGCGGGGCAGGGCGACGGCCATTACGCCACAATTACAAGCGCTCCCAGAACAGGCACAACGGTTCACAGTCCGGCGATACAGTAAAGGCCCGGGCGATGCCAGGAGACGACAGCATGTTCCCGACATATGTATCTGGACGTCGGCCGGGTTGCGGCAGGCGCACCAGTCGACGTAAAGCGCTGAGATCAAAAGATCGATAGCATGGTGAGGCGTGAGAAGATGACCATCTAGGTACGACACAGCGTCCGCCACCAGCTCCTTTGTCGGACGTGCAATAGCCACGGGATCACCGGACGGTCGCACGACGGATGAGGATTCCCAAGGCGACTGGTAGACACACTCCGCCAAGCGCCAGTGTGGGTGGAGAGAAGCCGGGGGAAGGGCCCGACGACGCGCCCCACGGTGCATTGTGCTACCACACCAACCAACTGGACGCCCGCGCCACAGCACGCTGCGTTCATAGAACCTCGGAACCGGCTTTACTCTCCCGTTCGGCGGCGCCACAACGCCATCTCATGCTCTGCTCCAGAGTCCAGAATCCCTTACATGGCGATCTGCCCGGTAAGCCGGACCTGCGATGACGATACCCAGCCTGAAGCAGATTAGCACATTACAAATACATACATACATCCGATGACCCGCACTTCGATAGCGTGTTGCATCTGCATCTAACTCATTGTTCGCGTCTTTGGGGCGTTGCGTTTGATATGACGCACGCGCGATCAGTCGTCCGGTTCAGCCGGAGTCTGCCCAACGATCTTGTAAATATCTCTACCGTTCGTGTCCTTGCGCTCATGCACGACCGTAATGCGTTGCAGCTCGTTGATGAAATCTTCCACCTTCCGATCGATCTTGCCTCGTTGCGAACGGCCTGAACAAAAGTGCGCGCCACATGATCAGCACCGGATCCGTCCGCAAAGTCGGCAGCGGTGTTAAACACGTACCAAGGTTGTTCAGCCACTTCCACTGGTTGAGGATGAAGTACACGATGCTGAGCACCACGATGACAGCGATCGAGTACGCCCAGATACGTATGACCGTGACGATATCAACGTGGCCGTTGTGCGGCGCAGCACCGGACAGCCAGCCGAAGATGGCCATGATCGAGGCGATGATGTCGACGGCCAGCACCGCGCCGCTAAAACGTTCCTCAGCGCTAAGATGAGATGACACGGTGGGCGGGGGAGGGGTTGCTTACACGAGCTGCCAAGACGGCCAGGTCCATTCGCCGTCGCCGAGTCGAGTAATGAACTGGACGAAAAAGGTAAACAACGTTGTATCCCATACGAGGAGTTACGCCACCACACGTACGATCAACCAGTTTTCAGTCAGCGCCACCTCGAGGAAGATGACCTCCTGTACCGAGCCCCAGTTCTGTATGATACCGCCTTTCCCGTCCGAGCCGAGGAAGAGCGTGCCTCGAATGATCCACGTCGCGGCTGCAAGCAGTATGCCCAGAAGCGTCGAAAGTACCCAGATCTTCGGCAGTTGCCACTCCACCGGCTGGCGCGCACACGGCGCGTGGTCGTACGCGATCGCAATGGTGGCGACATCTGCGAATAACGCGAGGAAGACGACGAGGTCAGCGCGAATCGTTTCCTTCAGGATAATCGTCGAGAGGGTCAAGTAGATTTCCAAATGCAGACAAAGCGCTATACGGTCTGGAGGGAACAACATTCAGCAGCTGCGTTCCCATATGGAGCATTTCCACTCACAGACAATGTAGGCCTTCATGCGGTGGAAGATCTGCCGCGCAACCTTGATCGCGGTGATAATCGTCGACAGACCCTCGTCGAGGAACACGACCGCGGCAGCCGACCGCGCCGCATCGCTGGCTCCCTCCACCGCAATACCGCAGTCCGCCTTCTTGAGCGCCGGCGCGTCGTTGACACCGTCACCCGTCATCGCAGTCAAATGCCCGCGCCTCTGAAGCATCTCGACGATCTGGTACTTGTGCTCCGGGAACACCTCCGCGAACCCGTCAGCCGCCTCCACAAAGTCGTGCAGCTGCGAGCCGCCCATGCCTCCGTTGATCAGTCGCTCAGAGTCGTACACGTTGGTGCCCATGTTCAGCATCTTGCACGTCTCCTTTGCGATGGCCACGGCGTCTCCGGTAAGCATCTTGACTTTGACGCCCAGCTCGCCCGCCTCGTGGATCGTCGCCGCCGTATCGCTCCGGGGAGGGTCGAACATTGGAAGTAGGCCGAGCACTTGCCAGTCTCCATCGCCCTCCTTGACCGCGACACCGAGCGAACGGAAACCCCTCGACGCGAACTCCTGCGCCTTTTCCTTATACCGCGCGCTGATGTCAGCCGGGACGTTGCACAGCTTCAAGATACTAAACTCGGGGTGAGGTGAATAAGAAGACAACGAGCTCCCGTGACACAAGGAGGGACATACGCGTTCGGCGCACCCTTGGCGCAGGTATAATGCTTTCCGTCTTTTTCGACTTCAGCGGTGATCCGCTTTGAGACGGGATCGAAGGGACGGAAGCTGGACGTCTTCCAGCCGCTTTGGAGCATCTCTCGCGTCTTGGGGTAGTCCTTCACCGTCTGTACCGTGACCTTGTCGACTGCGAAGCGTCTTTCAGGTTACCTCGTCGGGATCGAGATCTGACGAGACTCACTGGGGTCGAGCAGTTTGACGTTGTGCGACGAAGCCAGGACCGCGACACACATCATCCAGTTCGGATCGACGCCCTCCGCCACGAATGGCTCGTGTATGCTGAGCTTGTTCGCCGTCAACGTGCCGGTCTTGTCCGAGCATAGGATGTTGCACCCGGCGAGTGACTCGATAGCGGTCAACCTCTGTACGATGGCCTTGCGCTTTGCAAGGTATGCAGCCCCGACGGCGAGCGTGGTCGTGGTGACACATGGGAGGCCGACGGGAACACCGATTATCTTTAACAGCGATCAATGCGGGCCCATAAGACACGGCAGGCGGCTGCCACTTACGAGGAAAATCAGGGTATAGATTAGCAAGTTGTCTTCCTTTGGTTGGGAAATCCTCGTGCTGCGGAAAAATCCCCCTACCCATACGGCAAACAGGAATCTACGTGATAAAGTAAGCGTCACGAACGTTACGTCCAACTTATGGACTGACATGACCACCAAAACGAGGAGCGTAGTGCCGATAATGTTCATCACTCTCTGAAAGTGGCCTTGGTCCTTCGAGCCAGTGACGAGGGACGCAGTCCTGCCCACGAACGACTTCTTGGCAGTCGCGATCATACGTGCATAACACTTGCCGCGTTTACCTGGAATTGTTTAACGTGAGTATATGCGCATAAGAAGATGTCGATTTAAACTCACTTATCGTGGTATAGTACACCGTATCGCCATGGAACTTGTCAACGGCCAGAGACTCGCCGGTAATCGCCGACTGGTCAACAGAGCAAATGGCAGGTCCCTTGTCGATCTTCTCGTCCTCATCGGCCTGTTGCTGCTCCTCGCCACCGTCCTTCTGTTCATCGTCCTCGTCGCTCTCTCCCCCATGCTCCTGCTTCTCTTTCTTTCTGTCGCTGGATTCAGGCTGCTTGCGCGAGGCCTGTCCGGGAGCGCCGCTCGAGCCTCCGGAACTCTGACCCTTTTCTCGTTTGGACTGTTCAGCGCGTTCCATGATCTGCCTACCCTTTGACCCGTCTTTGTCCGAGTACTCTGCGAGAAGGACGGCATCTCCGGGTATCGTTTGACCTTCCTCGATGAGAAGCTGTCGCGACACCAGTTAAGCAAAGCACACAACCGTCACATCAGCGAGAGCTCTTACAATATCCCCCGGTACAAGATCGCGCGCCTCGATTTCCTGCTCTTGACCGTTACGGATGACGAGGGCCTTCATGGCGATGCCAGCCTTGAGCTTCTCCACGATATCGCCCGCCTGTTTCTCTTGGTACCACCCCACGAACGCGTTCAGCGCCAAAATGCCGATGATCACGCCAAAGTCGACCCAGTCTCTCAGCCCTCCGGCGAGCGCTACCGCCACCTCCATCACGTAGAGGATGGGGCCGCGGAAAAAGCCGAGCACCTTCAGCACCTGGTTCTCTTTCGCCGACGTCAGCTCGTTGTAGCCGACACGTTCGCGCCGTTTCGCGGCTTCGGCGTCATCGAGGCCGCGTTGCATGTCGGTTTCGAGCCACTCCTCCGGGACGCGCGCGGCGCCGGACTGGGTCTTGACCTTTTTCCAAGGCATGTACCATCTCTACGTGTCGGCGACGACCGTGAGTTCGTCGGGATGCAGTATAGCAGGGGGAGGGACCATATAGTACTCACACGCTTGTACTCGACGTCTTCGTCGTCATCACCGTCTTCGTCCGCAGGCTTCGCCCTCGCCGCATTGTCGATAAAGTGCAGCAGCGCGCCGTACTCGTCGTCGCCACCAAAATCTGAGAGCACGATCAGCAGAGGGATCATCCTCAGCGTATACCGAATGTGCGCGCACCATCGTCTTCTGGCTCCTTCCCCTTCCGGTCCTCGTCGCGGGCGTGGTCGTGTTCGTCGTTCGGCGCGTGGTTCGAGCCTTTCTCGGGCTCGTTATTCGAGCTGCCGTTGATGGCGGTCGCGTCAGAATCACGATTGTTACCGCGCGCGTGCGGTGCGGGGTTGGTGGACATGGCTGGCTAGCTAGGCCGCGCCGAGCAGGGGAGGAGCGTTCGGTTTTTTGCTCCCGAGCATGGCGGCGAGCTTAAGTATGGGTGGTGTGTCTGAGTATATGCATTGCACGGCATGACGCAGTAGTCCCGTTCCGAAAATAATATGACGGTGTGCGCAGGACGTTTGTAAATAGCCCGGCCGGTAAGTAATGCCAATGTGTCAGGAGCAACTTGAGACTCAGAGCAAGCCATGATGCGTGCGAACCTAGCGAAACGAACTCACGCGTGACGTCAGTGCCACTCTCGTTCCTGCCGTTTCTCTTCTCCAGTGGAGCTAAACTGAACTCAATCTGACTGAGAACACTGGAGGCGCTGGCCAGACCTTGTCCGGGAGGATAATATGGCATAGCATAGGTTATCAAGAGCATAGTAGATACATGATTATAGGTGCGATAAGCATGCATGAATGTAAATCAAGGTCGGGATCCACAACCTCGCCGGCCTTCAGCTCTCGTCATGTTGATTCCTTGAGCGTCGTCAAAGCCTTGAACACCAGATTCATGACAAACAACACATGCTCCCTCTCCCCTTCCCTCACCCTGCTCAGCACTGACGACACGAACCTGTCAGGGTGCCATAAGAGAAGCTCCTTCTCGAGCAAAGACGATCCCGATTTGGTGATCGCGATTCGTGCCGGATGGAGGATGAATGCACAGACGTTTTCCATCGTGAGACGCTCCAGAAAGCGTTCGCCAAAGATCGGCCACGGGATGTCGTCGAAGCCGAGCGCGCCATTCAACGGCGTCGCCCACCAGGTATCGTAGTCCACGAGCTGCTTCTCCTCGTTCCTGTAAGTGAGCTCCGCCTCGGCTCGTGCTCTTTCGCGTTTCTCCTGCTCGAGCCTCCGCAGCCTCTCCTGCTCCGCCCTCTGTGCTTGCTCCGCCCTCCTCCGCGCCTCCCACTTTTCGGAAAGCTTCCGATCCCTCTCCGCACGCAACGCCCTCCTGTTCTCAATCACCTCGGGGCGCGACACTCGGTCAAGCCGCTCCCCGACCTTCATGACAGCGTGTCTCAACAAAATATCGATATCCGCGCTCCGCACGGCGTCCAGCACCGCCCGGTCCGCTGGGTCCTCCGGGTCAAGCTGGATCTGGTACTCCTTCCACTTCCGCGGGTGCCAAAACTCTGTACTAGGAGGCCCTTCCGGCACCGACTCGAGCTTGATTTTGACCGGCACCAATGGGTCGTAGTGGTCGATCTCGGACATCTCCACCACGCGCCACTTCTTTTGCGAGCGCCGCCGCTTCTCCGCCTTCTCCTTCGCCTTCTCTTCGCGACGACGCAGGGTGATGCTGCCGTACGAGTCGCGCTGCAGCGCCCGCGCCGACCGACTATTCCGGCGCTGAAGTTGTTGGCGCTGGTGTTCGCTCTTGACGTTGACGCCCATCGTAAACGGAAGAACGAAGTGTAGTGATCGATAGGAGGCACGGAAGGGGCAGTAGGGCGAAGGATATCTGAGGAGACAGGCGGAAAAGGGAGGGTTTTTGTATCTTTGGCGATGCGGTGTGGCCGAGTGTCGGAGAGCGAATTCGAGGGGGAGGGGGAGAATATTGTACAGTTTTACCTTGTACAGTTGTGGCCTTGGCCGCAAACGAAAGCGTGCGTCCGTACACAAGGGAAAATGCATTCGCGGCATCTGGCCATTAGATGTGTCACCGTGAGAGTCCCGGGGCGAATGGCATATCCGCATGTTCAGGTCGACGTGGGCCAGCGGAAGGTCCGTACATGCCTGATTGAGCGCCTCTGGACCAGCGAGCGATCTTGAGAAGACAGTTACTGCGCAATGGACGCGATGCCTCTCCTCGGACTGTGAGTTTGTGGCTCCTGCCTCGTGAGTCGTAGCCTGTCTCTTCTTGAGTCTGCGTGAGCATTTTCTGTTTGCCTGAACATCGTTCCTGTTGGCTTTGTTAAAGTGACTCAGTGCTGGGCATCCGACAGTTCAAGATGGTGATAATCGACCCTTGATTCCCATGGTTATGAGGCCATCAGACGACACAGAGGAGTTATATGTCGGGCAAAGGGAGTTGAGTCGGCCTTGTCCGATACTCCGAGTCGCCGGGTATCAGGGGGGCTGTGGCTGTGCGATGCAGCTGTGAGCCTCGAGGACGCGCTCTCCGGAGGACTCGGTGGGCGAAACCACGCACACAGCCAGAGGGTACGCATCAGCAACGAGGCGCAGAGTACGCTTCAGCGCGCTGGACTTGACGTCGCTGTTGACCATAGCGAGTCACGAGCGACAGCATGTCGGTCGCTGCAGGTTCCCGATAAGGCAATATAGCCCCTGACAGCGTCGTGCTCCGGACCCCACGTTCCGAATACAAAAGGCGGGCGAGCGCGCAACATGTGGCAATTGCTCCTTGACCGATAACGACGACCAGAGGCCCATCGAACGCTATTGAGCATAGGAGGCGTCGTGCAACCATCGAAGAGGACAGCACCCGAACGTTTTGTGTGCTGCACTGCCCAACTTTCGGGGGGCCTCGCCTTGCCCAAATAAGATACAAGGAAGGACAATAGCGCCAGCGACCCCTGTGTGGCTTTTTGTGGCCTTGTTAAAGGGTGGATCTTCTTGCTGTGACTGCGACTAGCGTATATATATCACGACGCGCTCGAGATGGCACGGTCGCCCCCTTGCTTCCGTTCGAGAAGACCACTTCGCCCCAAAGCGAATCGTAGTGTAACCGCCACAGGACCATCCACGCAGGTGCCGGAAATGTCTTCCTCAGCTCCTGCTCCCCGACGGTCGGCACGTCTCAATCGTCGAGCACATCCATATCCTCCAGAGGCAGCGACGCCCGGCTCTGTCGTCCCTGATGGCGGCCGTGATCCCGCCCACGCCACGACCTCGCGCCGATTTTCTCCGCCTACGCCAAACAGACGCCCTGGACGACCTAAGCCTCTTGCCGCTGACTTCAGCACCACCAGCACGTTGACGACGCTGAGTGTCCTGGAGGCGGAGCTGGCCGCCAATCGACATCGATCCACGAGTCAGACGCCAGAGTTCGAAGCAACTCTGTCCAGCTCGGACGACGGCGAGGGTGCGATGTCCCCATCGAACCCGCGGACGCCGCCTCCGCGCCCGTTGCCGTCCCAGTCGGCGATCCTGACGCCGCGCAAGCTCGCGCGGGAGGCTCGCCTCCCAATGTCCCAGTCGCAGGAGCCTGTAAACTTCTGGCACGACGATAGCCAGCAGTCGGCGACCGACAGCCAGGTACAGCACCTCACGACGTTCCTTCCGGTCGTCGAGAAGAGTAATGAGGAGGAGAAGATTACGGCGAGGCGGCGGATCCAAGCTTCGGCACGCTTGTCGCAGGGGGCCCAGTTGATGCGGGAGCGAGGCCTGCGTAGAACGTTAGAGAATGCCACAGGCGACGTCTTCACCGATTCGCAACGCATATATGAGCATGCTTCTGGGGACATCGACCAGGGGGACGACAACATCACGGAGATCGTGGAAGAGGAAGGAGAGGAGCTGGGACGACGGCTGGGGCCGCAGGGCACCTTGTTGGATGAAGGCGTGGATGGCGTTACGAGGACGAACTGGTATTCAAGCCAACGTAGAAACGACGGCGGATATTAGCTGCGTGATCCGGTGGTTTGTGGAAGAAATGGATCGGGCGCGATATGGAAGGCAAGGGAGTAAGGACCATCGTATGCGTTAAGGGCAACTGTATGACCTCACATGTCACATATATTATTGTTCGGACTCGTAGTTGCCTTGTATGAGCATCATTCCACAGCGGTAGATCTTTTGCGACCCGTCCGCGTATTATCCAGCCCAGCGCCTAGGGTTGAAGCAAGGAGATTCGGAGTCCACAGCCGCCAGCATGTGTTGCGAGATACCACTGTGCGGAAAGTTTTGATGAACGATGCAGCTCTACCTGCTCGTGCGATACCTGACGAGTCAGGCCTTCATCGTAGATACCGTAAGTCGAGAGGAATGTTCCATATCATGCGAGAGATGAAGGAGGTATGTAATAGCCATTCAGTCTGATCTTGTTGCGGCGTCGTGTACGAAGAAAAACTGGCTCCGCCCGCCACTCTTCACCACCGCCTCGTTGCCATTCTGGCTCTGACGTCCACAGCTCTCGATGGCCATCTCAATTAATGGAGCTCTACACACGCTCGGTCCAGCATGGCAAGGTGCACTGCAAGGCTGTCTATGCTACGTACAAAGGGTACTGTATAAAAATGGGTCCTCTGTCTTGCGGCTTGTAGTCATGGTCCCGCCCCTGCACCTCAAGACGTGGGCGCTCATAGCACATACATCTGAAGTCTTGACGACTCGTTGCTCTTGGTCTCGCGTCAACCTGCATTCGACCATTATTCTCTTCAGCCATGGCTTCCAGTCCAAAATCTCCGTCGCCTCTCATGCGTCGTCCGAGACGTCGCAACGCGGTCGACAGCCTGACAGACTATATGCGTGCTCCCCCAATGGGTGCGTTCTCCTAATGTCCAGAGGACCGCATGAACTCAATCGCGCGTTTTGGACACAGGAGCGATATCCTCACCGGCTTCGCTCAGCTCTACACCTAGCGAACGAACACGAAAAGTCCGGTTCGCGCTGGATGGCTTCACGGATCTCGTCCAGCCGGGCGACGATGACGGACAGCGCATGTAGAGAGGCCATTCCTTGAGGTCTTCGTCGGGCTGCCATCCTTCAAGGCGACCCATTCCTCGTTCGCCTCCTCATCACGCGGTATGAGACTGCCGTGCACACGCATGGCCCAAAAGCTTGGAGCTTGAATGCCGTTTTGTTTACACGACGTGTGCTTTTATGTACTAAGTAAATTGGGCTTGTAGGCGCGCTTCACGATACTTTGACGTGTTCGGCGCATTCATTGTACTTCTATCATATCCATTATATTTGTATCTTTACCATTGCTGAACAATCCATTTGCTTGGGCTACGGTATGTCATCTCCGTGCTTTGACTTGGGCACTGGCCCTTAGACTAGGGTTACCGGCGTTCGGTAGTTGAACGGGGCCGACTTTGTTTCACCTGACGCACCCCAAGCCGCCACCGCCGCCGGCCCCGACTCGCTCAATCTTATCCTCCTCCTCTCCTCCTCCTCCTCCTCCTCCTCCTCGTGTCCTCACTGTACTGCAATGGTTTCTCCTCCTAAACCTTGGGAACGCGCTGGCACTGGATCAATACCTACGACCTCACCAATGTCCTCTGCATCCGCCGCAGCAGCGTCAAGTGCTGCGAGCACATCGGCGCCCTCAGCGGCCACAGCAGGACCTTCCACTTCCTCTGTCTCCTCATCTTCACCGCCTGCGGTACCCACACGACCTGCCGCTATTCAGTCTGCCGCACCTGCACAACCCACATTTCCCGCTACAGCTGCAACCTCAGCTTACGGCTCGCCTTACTCAAGCGTGACTCCATATAACCGCTTCGGCACTGGCTATGGAGGGTATGGAAACAGCATGTACAGCGGTTACGGCTCGTACGGTGGTTTTGGAGGGGGGATGTACGGGTCCTCCATGTATGGAGGCTTCGGCAACGGGATGTACGGCAACGGGATGGGCTACGGCATGCCCGGTCCGCCCGGCTTCGACCCAAACAACCCGTCGTTCAGCGCCGCCCTCGACAGCGCTACGCAGCCTACGTTCGCGCTTCTGCACTCGCTCGTATCGACCGTGTCGTCGCTAGCGCAGATGCTGGAGAGCACCTTCATGGCGACGCATTCCTCGTTCTTCGCCATGGTCGGCGTCGTCGACCAGTTCACCGTCCTACGCAATGCGCTCGGCTCCGTGCTGGGGCTCTTTGGGCTGGTACGGTGGATGCGGGATATGTTGCTGGGGAAGCGGAGTAGTGGAGGGATGAGGGGCGAGTTTAGGGACTTCATCAACGGGAAGCCGGTGCAGGGACCCATGCCTCAACGGCCCGGTCCGCCACCGAGCAAGAAGCCAGTGATCATCTTTTTGTTGGCGGTGTTTGGCATACCGTATGCAATGCATCGGTTGATGAAGATATTGGCGGAACGGGCGGCGCAGGGTGAGTTATGATGTCCTCGTGTCACGCTGAGCCATTTGGAACTGACATCGTTCATCTAGGCCAATTGACATTGCCCGGCCAACTTCCGCCACTGGACCCTTCACAGCTATCGTTCGCGAGAGCGCTGTACCCATTCACGCCTTCCAACTCAGCAGAACTCGGTGAGCCATCGTCTGACACTTGTGTGTGTGAAGTGGGGCACTGATGACTTTCCATGAAGCTCTGAAAGAGAATGAGATTGTCGCGATCATGGGCAAGCTCGACCCCAGCACAGGCGTCGAAGTTGACCCTCGCATGGAGGTGAGTTCATTGTCTTGCATCCATTATCATTGCGTATCCATTGGACTGCACGCTCATGCTTGTGTTCAACCAGGTCGACACTGAATGGTACAAAGGCCGCACACGCGACGGCCGAGAAGGCTGGTTCCCCCGAAAATGGGTGCAGGCACTCGAGCGCACTCAACCCCAAAACCAAGCAGCGGAGCCCAAGAAGATCGAAGACTCTGCGCCGGTACCAGCTGTGGCTGAGAAGGTACCGGTCAAAGCTGCGTGAAACCATGGGCATGGAGGTGTGGAGGAGGCGGAGGATGGGCGATGTTGTTTGCATCCGGATGAATATATGCATGCTAGCCTTCGTTAGATTACGCTTCGCTATCTTAATGTTCGCTCCTTCAGCAGGCCATGGATGTAATGTTACCGCGCTGTGTGAAGCCCGTGTCACACAGCGCATGACTCTCACAGCGCGCTTTTACAGCTTTGCGTGTGCTTGAATCCAACTTCATCGATCATCCCCAGCACACAATTGTTGGCCCTCTCGATAGCGTCCATTGTCCGCATGGCCCACTTTTTGAGCTCTGTTGATGGCCTCGTTGATGAGGATGGACGACGCTACTCCTTCGCATCCGATGAGAATGAAACAGCCTCCGATCTATCTGGACCAGGTCGTATCGTCAACAACGCAATCTCGTGGGCTGGGCAACGCATCAACGATACCTTAATGCCAACGCTTGTACCAGCTTCCGATAGTCCTTTCGATATAACGGCAAATGGGGTCGGCCATGGGTACAGCCTTGCTTCGGAGGATAACGACACTGCGAGCGACCTGAATGGCGTCGGTCGAACCCTCGACAATGCTCTCACTTGGGCAGGCGAGCACTTTGAACACTGGGTTGGGAGAATGGCAGAGAGGATGGGCTTCGGACCCAACGCTGTAATACTCGACATCATCCGCGCGTCTCCCCAGCCGACGTGTACGCACCAACTGTCATGTCGTCAGGCAGCGTCTACTCGGAAGAGCCTATCCACTGCTGTTCAAGAACTACTCGTTCTGCGTCTGAGTGGTACCTGCTCCCAATGTACCGAAGTCTTCATGAATTCGGATAGCAAGAGAGCAGCAAAACTACCCGGATATTGCCGGAAGTTAGTCAAGATGCTGAAGTGAGCATCTGCATTATTTTCCTTGCCGTTCCGTAGCGCCCATCAAATCACGACAGTGATTCAAGTACATCGTCCAGAAACCTTGCGCTCCAGTACCTTTCCATATTCGCCCTATGCAGCGATGATATGCGCATACAGTTCCTCAAACTAGATGTTTATGAACATCTGAAGGACTTCTGCTCTTCGGCGTGGTCTAGCGACCCCTTACTTGCTCCAGCTCAGCGTGCGCTGTATGCTCTCTCGGATACCAAAGTGCTCGTGATTAGAAAGGAGGTGGAAACGGCTATCGCGAGACATCAGCAGCTCGGGCCGTATTGCAATTCATCGCTTGTTGTCGCGGATATGCAAAGAAGTGGAACTATGCAGCTCATCCAACTGTCCAGGTGACGTTTTATCTCATAATGGGGTAAAGCCATGAGGCAATCCGAAGGAACTTACACACAGCCTTGTAGAGAACCCGAAACGCAACTGCTCGCGATAAGCAGTTTATCAGCGCTACTCGCCGTTTTTGGTGCCTCCTGGGTGATACAGACATTCTTACAAGAGATAGAGGAAGATTTTTGCTGGAAACTGTGGCAGCAAGCCCTTGCCTCTCCTGATCGCGCCGGTCGAGTGGTGATCATACAATTCGTCGAGTATATCGACGCGATGTTCTCATCTACACCGCTTCCCCGCGACCAGGACGGCCTCAGCGCGGTGGCAAAGGCAGCGCTGCGTGCGCCGTGATCTCGGATACGGCGCGGTCTATTTGTTGAGCAGGATTGCGCCACCGGGTTGTTGCGCAATACCGCCCAGTTCGCCGTCAAGGTTGGAAGGGCGATATTATCATCGGCGTGTCGGGCCCGAAGAGCTATCAAGCCTGTACGTTTGCAGATGTTCACCACATGGACCTTCAAAGTAGCCTCCCATATTATAGCTGGATTGGTTCTTCCGAAGGTTAAAGCGCTCCGCAAAGGTAAACTCTTCCTCGTGATTATCGGCGTTTCAGTGGGCATAGCATACGTACGCTTCTTCCAGGTATACGGAGAGCGGCGTCAAATGCTCAACCATACCCAAGGCAAGGTGATTCATGGCGCCCTCGGTTCTGCCAGTGCACAGGTGGATATGCCTCCTGGCTTGGGAAACGTCGGACTTCTTGCCCTTCCTGTGCCATCACTCTCAACCTTACACGCCAAACCGGATATCGGGTAACGGGGCCGTGATGACATTGCTCTCCGAAAATGGCCGTATCCTCAAATCACACGCCTCCACTCCTTCCTATCGCGATACGGGTACAAACTCTGTCTAAACAGGTATATATGCATGTCGTCGACGAGATTACGCGTTCCCTGATGCCTTAAACCACCAGTTTCACCCACAATGACCTCCACCACCAGTTCTACCCCAAGCTTGGCTCCAGGCTTGTCTTTTACAGATGCCCGCGGTCGCACTTATACAATTGCATCCGATGATAACGAGACTGCCAGCAACCTTTCCGGTCCGGGACGCCTCGTCGGAAACGCGATATCGCGAGCAGGCAAGTACCTGCAGCGAATCATCACGCGCAGCCAGCGCCGCACTCAAGTCCCACCTCCATACGCCCTTCGGCTCGTACCCCTCTCCGCAATATTTCCGACGTGCCCAGAGACCGGGTGGACCGTCATAGATCGCCCGGTCCTCTTAAGGGACGGACTACACCCCATCTTCTTTGAAGACATCAACCGGTGGACGGCGATGAATAATCAGGCAGAGTGTCCATCTGTATATTCCTCCACCTCCTCCATTTGCGACCAGCCAGACGGCCCGTTTGAGCCCATAATTATGCACCAATCAACGAGGCTCCCCATGAGAGTACAAGCGGGGGTGCCGTATTGGGCACATCCCGACACTGGACTCTCTCGTCCCGAAGTTGTCGCGCGTCGGTCGGTTTCCGATGGGTGGGAATACACGAACCACGATGAGATGACAGACGAACACACCAATGCAGCTGAGCCATTAGCTTCAAGCTCCGAAGCGGTGTATAACGGTTGCACCAAGTTCAATTGCCGATGTACGAACATACGGAAGGAAGGCGACCGGGCAGGTTCCCATTCAGTGGAGCGTAATGGTGATCACTACCTTCAAAACGATTTGGATGGAGGAGGCGGCAATGACAGCATACTGACAACGCCGGAGATGACCGCCTGGTCTATCACAGCTGTTGCCGGCAGCTGCGGAGAGCCTTGTTGCGATGGCGCGGGCTCATCGTACAATGATCGATTTCCCCCCACTGGCATGCGCAAGAAACCTTCCGTTTCTATGCCGGCTGCCTCAACAACTTGGCCTGTGCCAAACTCAATTCCAACTTCCTCGATGCCGGTCCTCGCGCAGGGTAGAGGACCAACTTTCATCTCGTCGTCGACTCCGGAGGCACTTCGCACCCCATCAGCTCCTCAATTCGTGTTCACGGAACTGGCTTACGACTAGCCATTGCTTCGGCCCTGGTGGCCAGAGAACGCCCGCAGAATGACAGGCTACACAAGTTTTCGATTAATCCGACGAACGTGAATCTTTCAATAGGGATTCTGAGACACATCCATCACATTCGCTTTCATACGCCAACTGCACGCTATCCGAGACAAGCTTTCAGCTATCACCTTCGCTCGCCACTGTAATCCTAGTCTCATCCACTCATATCGATGGTTCCATAGTTCATATATGTACAACAATATCTGCTAGTGTATTTGTTTCTCCATGCTCTGTCGCTCTGGCCACCGCTCGCGTGTAAAGTACTTGTACCAATAGACTCTTATTGCAACGAGTATACGCAAAACACCCTAGTAAAGACACGATTTGAACTGTGCTTCTCTCTATGCGCACCGGCGTTCACAGGACGATCCTACTATCAATGGGACGTCTTCATTGGAGGATGTATGGATAGTAACGACCGTCGTAAAATAAATACAGTGGTGCTGGTGCTAGAGTTTTCCAACCTTACGAGCAATTAATGGATTCATACATAAGATCTTCATGTTGATGCATCCACGATCATAGTATACCAACATAACCATCTTCCGAGGAGCGATCAAACCTGTGTTGCCTCCCAGTAGTGCATGCGGGTCGCTTGGTCGACGTCCCGCCAGCTGGCGAGCAGCGTGCGTCGTACGCTGCCTACTCCTGTCTCCGCGCCATGATAAGCGTGTTCCGTATCAAGGATCATGGCCTCAGCTGTACGCCGGTCCGCGGGGGCGAAGGGCTGGTTATACGCTGTGAAAATCCAGGATTCTGGGTCAGGAGAGGTGTGCTAAAGAATTCGAGATGAGTATATATCTGTAAGAGCAATGAGGTCGCTTACAGCAATGATCTCCATGAGCTCGCGTTGGATGGTGAGACAGAAGCCGTCCAGATCTACGGAGAAACTATGTCAGATGCCAAAAATACGCATACGAAGAACCTGAAGCTTACCGAGGTCATTCGCATCGTAGTTGAACGGGTTCTCGATCTCTTGACCGATCTCGAGGAAGCCGAGAAGGAGGAACGCGGCAAACGCGACGCCTGGAATTGTGATCCACCCGAAACTGTCAAACACCTCGAACTGTCGAAAATGCGTCAATCGTGGTATTCTTCCTGGTAGGGAGAGCAGTGGACACTCACTGGAAGGAAGAAGAGATAGAGCCACATTGACATCCTCAGATGCGCCTGGTACGCGAATGGCAGCGGCGTGTTCCTGATCCTCTGCAAGTTGGTCGCGCTGTCCTGCAACGATTGGATGTTGTTCATGATCCCCGTCGCCAACGCCGGCGTTAAAAGTCCTTTCTTCAAAAGCCACGCATGATAGCTGCTGAGGAACAAGCAGATCTCTAGCGGCACGTTGGAATCGACGTGCTTGGGATACTTCATCCTCCCCGACACGCCGCGGCGCCCGCCACGCGTCTTTCGCCTGAAGGCGCTGAACAGCAGCAGCGGAAGGCGGAGGAACGGGAGATAGTCGAAGATGGAGGATTTCGGTGGGTTGCGCGCGGGCTTCAACGGCCGCGCGGCCGCGATCGTCGGCAATGCAAATTCGACGTCGAGCGCGGTGCTGGGTCGTCGACTGGGAGTGGGCCGCTGGGAGCGCTTGGTACCCTTTTCGGAGTGAGAGGGAGAGGATCCGCGGGTGGAGGTGGAGCCGTTCGGGTTTTGAGAGCCAGAGGTGGCTACAACGGGGGTCACAGGGACTGCGGCCTCATCTTCCTCGGCGTCGTCGTATTCAGAAGCCTTCCAAAGGGGAAGCATGTCCAGGTCCCCATTGCCGATTCCAGATGATCCTTTCGCGTTGGCGTATCGCGGAAGGACGCATATGAGCGAGTAAAGATCTTGGTAGTAAATCCCGGGTTCAGATCGGAGCATGTGCTTGACCGCGATGGAAAATGCTTGAATCTGAGTTCACGGATAGCGCGTCAGAACGTGAAGGAGATTCATGGATTAACTTGGTTTAAAAGTTACGGGTACTGACAAGATTGACGATGGTCTTCTTCTCAATCATGCCCGGGAGCGAAGCGTTGCTGAGGGCGCCTTCGGTTACGGTGTAGCACTTTGCACGATCGTTGGGTACGTGGATCCAAATCTGCGCAACGTGTCCCGGTCAGTCGGTGGTTCAGAGAGCATGAGCGGTAGCGAGCACCTGAGATGCAAGATTTCGCGAGGCAATATTGATCGCTGTCCAGAGCTTGCGTCCTTCCTGATACCTTGTGTAGAAAAAGAGTTTAAATTCAGAAAACATCCGTGAAGGGGAAAATATTCCTACCGCTCATAAGCGCTGCTTGTGCGGAAGGAGACGACGAGACCGAGAACGGTACCCAGCACCGTCAGCAGTTGCGTCTCAACTGCAAGGTGAACGGAGGTGAATTTGTTGACAGAGCAGACCACTACAAAATTCAAACAGACGTGTAAGAAACATATATCATTGCTGCAGAAGAAGTAAAGCAGATCGAAACTGACTGGCTGAGATGGCGCTGAAGAAGAAAACCTCGGGCCATATGTCGTTGATGACAGTCGCATTAAACTTTTGGATGAGGCCACCGTAGGTACCGGAGAAGAGTGGATTAGAGGCGACCATAGTCGTTGAAGGTCCGTACGACTCTAGGTCAAGGCTGAGCGGTGGGCCCTGTCACAGCGACAATAACCCAAATGAAGGCCGAATAGACCTGCGGCAGCGACGATAGAGTGAGATATTGATGGCGGAACAGAGGCAGCAATCAGCCAGGACAGCGAGGACGGTGAGCTGGTCCTGCTAATTCTTGTCCTTAAGTAATGTCCGTGCTGCAGGGGCCTAGATCAGACACGAGGCCGGGCGGGAAACCGAAAGGAAGCAGTAGAGGCCAAGGAGGAATCGAAAAGGTACAAGGTGATCCCGGTGTACTGGGGAGGTCTACATATATGAATGAAGCATCGTTCTCGCCTCCGCCTTCTCCGTTCTCAGGAGCAAATTATAGAGGACTGCCTGTTTCGATTTTGCCGCGCACATAGTTGCGATCAAATGTTGGGGCGCAGGTGGAACAGAACAAGTTGGGCGCATCATCGGGCGCTCGTGCGGTAAGGGTGCAGAGCTTCGCAAGCCGGTAATTATGGGCTGATTTGGCTCCGATGGGTTGATAGTATGAGGCCATGGGTAAGAGGAGTGACGAAAGCGTGGGAACTTCAAGGTCGATCACAGCCTTGACAGGCGGGGAAAGACGGGCGTCTAATGAGGATCACCTCGTTGCCTGAGCAACGAGCTTGAGATCTAGGCGAGGAAGAGAGGAGAACACGTAATATCTATATGATAACCCAGCAGTGGTAAGTAAACTTCGGACAGGATCGATGACACTCGGGAGCTATATGTATTGCTGGTCAAGTATAATGAGTTGCGAATACTACTCATTGACCGATGTTTGACCCCGCGAACGTAGAGGGTCAATGCATCACCAACCGAACGTTGACGATAACTCCCCGAATATCAGAATAGCCTTTATTTGCAAAGGATCCGAGGGCGACCCGTTTTGCCGCTAACCTTTATGGAAAGCATCCGATGTCGAACAGCCTCAGTAATTACTTGTATAAGTAAACCGCATGAGTGAAAAGCTTGGGCGGGTTAACTGCCTGTACTAAGAAGCTGTGCAGGATCCGCTGTTGATGATGGGGCCTTCGCTACGACAAATGTATGGCGTGAGACCAGTAGCCTGTAGGTCGCCAAAGAAGCGATGCAAACACTTACCATCATCTTATTGAAAAGAGCAGACACCAGTTGCGTTTGCACGCCGCATGCGCCGCATCTGCCATTGACATACGCTTGCTCGTGAGGCTTTTCGTGAGCGTCTGCAGACACATGAGCGTCACGCCATGTTCCCTTAGACTGATGCCTCTCTCTGGGATAACCTGTGCGAAGCAAATGTCATCGAGACAGGCTGCGGGTTGACAGAATCGAACCTTCGAGTAGCCACTGGCCGACAATAGGTCTGGCACAGCATTCGTGGGCAGAAGCGAATCACAAGGGTTCAAGGGCTAATGTCGGTGCGCAGCCCTGCACCCCGCAGCACACTGAGGCGGCGGAAGCCAAGAACATGCGTTGTCCTCGAGTACCAGCGTAAGCCTATAAGTCTTGGATATCTGCCATAGAGCGAGCATCGTCCCATCTTCCAGTTCAGCCTCCTACGACTCGCGCCAGACCAATAACTGATCATTGAGTAGAGGAGTTCAAAATGGTGATGGTGGTTCGCGGCCAAGAGGGGCAATCGCCCAAAAAGGCAACCCTCCGTCATAGATCGCAACTGCACTCGGTCTCGGTTCCTTTGCCGCAGCTCGTCACCTCCATCTCGCCATCGTTCACAATGCAAGCACTACGACTACAGGTAGCTTCCCGTTCCACTTATTAAAATATTGCATCTCACTGATGGTGACCGGTCATGTAGAAAAAGTATCCAGATGTCTCGCAAGATGAGATATTCGACATGATCAATCGCTTCAAGTACGTATTACTTCGATACTTCGCGCGAAGTTGGTGCTCACCTTCGGATCCCAGTGCGATATCTACGGACTCGCCAGGACGCGTCGACAAAGCGAAAGCCCTCCAGGCCATACAACAGACCGGTCACTCCTACGATGCCGCGCGCGAGACCTTGAAGCACGTTAGCGTTGATGCCAGTGGAAAGCTTGAGGTAGAAGACTGGGTGGAGGTACGTCGATCCATAAGAGTAGCCGCTACGTGTAAACTCATTCCACGATTAGCTCAACGTCAAACTACGACAACATGCTACGCCCGCCCTCGCCACCCGTGCAGGCAAGGTTACGGTCCAAGGGTCTAACGCGAATGTCAGCCATACACTCAACGAAGACGAACGCACGGAATTCACAAATCACATCAACCTCGTGAGTATGTACTTCTTCGGTCCTCTAACAGGATTTCATATCCCCGCAGATCATCGAAGGCGACCCGGACCTCGGTTCCCGATTCCCTATTCCGACGGATACCATGCAAATCTTTGAAGAATGCCGCGACGGTCTCATTCTCTGCAAACTTATCAACGACTCCGTACCCGACACGATCGACATGCGTGTCCTGAACAAGCCTACGGCGCGCAAACCGCTCAATGCATTCCAGATCACCGAGAACAACAACATCGTCATCAATTCTGCCAAGTCCATCGGCTGCTCGGTCGTGAACATCGGTTCCACGGACATCGCCGAGGGCCGAGAGCACCTTGTCCTCGGCCTGATCTGGCAGATCATCCGTCGCGGTTTGCTCGCACAAGTCGACATCAAGATCCACCCCGAGCTCTACCGCCTATGTGAAGAGGGCGAGACCATCGAAGACCTCCTGCGTTTGACTCCGGATCAAATTCTCTTGCGCTGGTTCAACTACCACCTCAAACAAGCTGGCTGGCACCGAAGGTACGTCACGATGCGCTTTCGAGAGGCAGGCGCTCACGCTCGTGGAATCGCAGAGTCGGCAACTTTAGCAAGGACGTGAAAGACGGCGAGAACTACACTATCCTCCTCAACCAGCTCAAACCCGACGAATGTTCCACCGCTCCGCTGCAGACACGCGACCTCCGCCAACGCGCCGAGCAGGTCCTCCAAAACGCAGACCGCATCGGCTGTCGCAAGTACCTCACGCCTTCCTCGCTCATCGCGGGCAATCCGCGCCTCAACCTTGCCTTCGTCGCGAACCTCTTCAACACCTGGCCCGGGCTCGCTCCCCTCGATGAACAGGAGGCGAAGGACTACGGTGTCGTCGAGGACTTCGACGCCGAAGGCGAACGCGAAGCGCGTGTGTTTACGCTTTGGCTCAACTCGCTCGGCGTCGAGCCGGCGGTTCACAACTTGTTTGAGAACCTTAAGGATGGTGTCGCCATCCTGCAGGCATTCGACAAGATCCTGCCCGGCTCCGTCGTCTGGCGCAGGGTGTCCAAGCCGAAGCCGCTTCCGGCTGACGGCCCGGCCTCGCCGACGACCGCGGAAGGCGAGGAGGAAGAGGAGACGGGTATCACGCCCAACCAGTCCAAGCTTTCGAGGTTCAAGTGTGTGGAGAACACTAACTACGCGGTCGAGCTGGCCAAGCAGAACGGGATGCATATGGTTGGTATTCAGGGTGCGGACATTGTGGACGGCAAGCGGACCCTCGTCTTGGGCCTTGTCTGGCAGCTCATGCGGTAAGCTAATCCGTTTTTATCATTACTTACGTCGCGATAGTTGAACCTGCGAAACAGGATGAGCGTAGTCAAGACTATGTCTGCGCTGTCGAAAGGTCGGCCGCTAAGCGATACGGATATTCTCAAGTGGGCGAACAACACCGTTCAGAAGGCGAAGCCTAGCGCGCGCCCGGCCAGGTCGTTCAAAGACCCGATGTTGACCACGGGCATTTGGTTCCTTGATCTGCTTGAGGGCATAAAGCCTGGCATCGTCGACCCATCGATGGTGATCAACGTCAGCGATAACGGCGATTACGAGGACAGGCGCCAGAACGGTTCGTCACAGAGACCTTCCAGGCCTGAATCTTAATTGACGCGCTCTTCTAGCCAAACTTGCCATCTCAATCGCTCGCAAGCTGAATGCCCTGATCTTCCTTGTCCCGGAGGACATTGTGGACGTCAGACCTCGCTTGGTATGGCCAGCCGCCCAGTCAACGTGTGCGCTTACTTATTATTCATCTAGATCATGACCTTCGTTGCTAGTCTTATGGCTATACAGTAAATGCGGTTATACTGCACTGTTCAAGGTGCTTGTTTCATCCTACGGACCACCGGAGGGAATGTTGCTACGATACTTAGTGTAAACAGAAGTCTCGAGAAAAGTGTAACTGATCCTGTCATAATCGAAGTTATCCCTATCATTCACTTGTCTACGTTGGTCTCCCCTATTTGATTAAACGTCTGCGCGAACGTCTGGATGAAGTCAAGCCCCGTCTTGCCGTCCAGAACGCCCTCCCGCCAGTTCACCCAGATCCCCATGCCCGTTCCAGGGTAAGATACGACGTTCATCACCAAGGCAGCGGTCAGCGGCCCAGGGTTCTGCGCAAACCAAAGCCCGTCAACGCGCAGCCCCGGGATGGGCGGGCCAGGGCCAACTCCAAGGTTTGATATCTCGAGCAGTGCGCGGAAGGGCTTCTCCGAATGAGCGCGCTTCAACAACCACTTTTCCCAGCCCGTGATGGATGATCCGGCAGCGGGTGGCGGGTCCGGTATGTAGGCGAGCATGCCCATCTTGCCCTTGTCGGTGGCGAGGGCGGAAGGGTCGGACAGACTTGCGGCGTACGTCTTCGCGGCCTCCCAAAGTGACTCTTCCGACGGCGTCGAGGAGGCGTCTACAACGAATGAGTAGGCATGCGGTGCGACATAGTTTCCCGTGGTGCTTGGGTGGCCAAGACTCGGATCCCGAAGTGACCGTGCAGTTTCCGTTTCGAGCTCTAGCCTCTTAGGATGGAAAGCTTCGGGAGACGCCGTTATAACCTGGTGCAGAGATTGTATGCCGCAGGCCATGATGACTGGCTGCAGGGTCTTGATACCGTGCGACTTGCCGACCTTCTTGACATGATCCACAGTCGCTTGCGGGAAGAACAGCATCTTACCCGTAGGACGACACTTGAAGGATGGTGTCGAAGAAGATGGAGGCCAGGAGGGTAAAGGCGTAGGAAGAAGAATTTTCGGGATATGCGGCCGTACAAACTCGTTGAATAGCACCCCAAGGAGATATAGAATGCTGGGTTTTAGGCTGATGGTGGAATCCATCGAAGGGGGTAATTCAATTTGCTTCGCGTCGACGGAAGGTGGAGGCGAACTTATCAGCGACAATAATTCCTGGAAGAGGACGAGGGCACCTCGTCCATCGCATAGGACGTGGTGCATGGTCATGATCAGTGCCCCCTCCTTCGACTTCGGGGTGCGGTACCAGTCGACCCGCCAGAGCGGTGCTTCGTCTAGTTTCCAGCGAGGGTCGCTGATGTTCGCGAGTGACGCGTCCTGGATGACAGAAAGACGATCATCGGGGCTTGGTCCAGTTTCTGTGACGAGGAACACATCTGCAGGGTGGACAACCACTCTCGAATACTTGGGGTCTCGTGTCTGATGATCGGCGATGACGCACGCAAGCATCGGGTGTCGAGATAGAAGCGCGGCGATGGCTTGAAGACCACGCTCGCGCACGTCGAATTCACCCGGAGTCCATGCCAACGACGCGCTGAGCACTATAGTGGGTTGAAACGCCTTGCCCGCGTTGGAACGCGCGACATGGTAGCGCTCGTAGAGACCTGCACGGGAGTTTACAGGTCAACCCGAAGATACCGTAGCTCTGAGAACCTGCCTAACTTCCGCTCGACGATGTTCATAGGTCCTCCGCGGTCGTAGTCGAGAGTGAGCTAAGGAATGAGCCCCGTAGCTGCGCAGTGCCGATCACAAGTTTTGCCGGAGGCCCGCAGTCGGGTACGCCTCGCTGATCCGGGGATTTCGAGACAGCACGACTGCACTGAACTTGTAATGTCATGAGAGCAAAGTGAAAAGATTCAGCGTATACTCATGATAATAGAGCAAGTGTCGACGCCGTCAGCCTCCGCGGCTGAAGAATACTCCGGCCGGAGTCGATATCGCAGTAATTCATGAGACAGGCGAAGTACGGTGCGGGGTTGGAATGAATACAGTAAACGTGAACATGATGTTCTTGTACAGTATGGCTATGTAGTAGTACCTTGTACAATATGACTAGTCCGTTCTACAGTATGACCAGTAGTAAACATTACACAGTAGAGAAAGCGACGTCGCATTTACGGAAGGATCTCGCCTGTTATCACCACCCGCCGTACTTCCGGCCCATGGCCGCCATACCCGCCCTCCGTTGCGCGCCCTCGACCTTGTACTCCAACGCATGGCCCACCCAGCAGCTAATGCTCCTCTTGCCCGCAGCGGCACGAAGTTCGTCCTCGTACGCATCCTCGTGCCCGTGCTCGCGGACGTTGCGCCTACGGCCGGTCTTATGCATCTCGCGCGGTGCCGGATATTCGATCGTCCGAAGGGCTGGGAAGGAACCCTCAACGTTCAGCGCGTCGGCGAGCGCCTTGAGGGCGTCATCGTCGCATTCGCCGCAGAGGGAGAGCGTCTCAAGCTTCGGCGCCTGTGTGGCAAGCGCGGCGATGCAGTCTGGGGTCATGCCCGTGTTCCCGCCAAGCTTGATGGAGCGAATGGAGCCCAGCACTGGCTTCACAAAGCCGAGGAACTGGAGTGAAAAACGGAGGTGAGCCAGGAAGGGAAGAGAGGGGAAGAAGTGGGGGGCTGACAGCGCCGTGGCTCAACGCATACATCTCGAGGTCCTTGAAGCTCTCGCTCGAGCCAGCGAGGAGCACGGAGGATTGGGCAAAGCGACTCATGAACCGCTCGAAGGTTGCACTGACGATCTTGCACGTCGGTGGCGGGATCGATGCAACCGTTTTCTCGTCGGGGTATCCATACGTATCACCTGCTGTGTATAACTAGACGAAGAGTTTGGGCATTCCAAAACTGATGAAGTTCACGGTTGGATACGTACATGCTGCAGATCGGGCCAACTGGAGACCAATCTCAAGAGTGTGAGCAAGCCGAAGTCGGTACGGGCACAAGTCATGGCTTCGTGGCGGAAGGTTTGGATGTGCTTGAGCTTGCAGAGGGCATCGACGAGTTTATCACCTAAGCAGTTGTCGTACGAATGGAGGGGCCCCGACTGGGGGATGTTTTATGAGCAGAACGTAGCGTATAATAAGATCAAAATAACATACAAATTTAAGGGTCAATGAAGTGAGATTGGGCGTCCTAGGAACGTTGCTCGGTGAGTCGGAATTCCTCCGCTACATATAGCACGTTATGCGCACCGCTTGATTAGAGCGGCAATGACATCTCCACGCGTACTCGGAAACCTCCTATCCGCCGTGCTAAATCCTATCACCTGCGATGCCTATCAATCTTCACCACTGAAATGTGTACTGGAGGCGTACCAGCTCCTTCACGGCCTCGCCCCTGCCGCCAACGATCAGGTAGGACGTTTTCTGCTTGATATCCGACTGCGTGCCCTGAATGACAACGCGTGTCTCATTTCCAGCGTTTTCTTTGTTGGCGACTTCGGCTTTCGGCATCTTGCTTTCTCGTCTCGGGCGCCTGACGGGAGTACTTATTGCAAGCTGGAACGCGCTCACGTGATAGCAGTGCGCCACAAAGCGCGTTTTGCTGGATGTTTGAGAAACCACATTGATCCGAGTACGTGAACAGTACAAAACCCCGCATTCCAAGACAAAGAGATCAGTCATAGTAGCTCATTTACGCCCCTGGATGATGTACCAATAATGGCTGTTGTAAAATGAAACATCATCACCTGCCCACTGCAGATATGAGTTAACCCTCGGAACCGGACCCCTCCATTTGTTCTTCTCGACCTTCTGAATAAAACGGACACCCATATCACGAAGAATGCTCTCCTCCATCTCTGCTTCGGCATGACTGTACGCGGTGAACACCGCCGGAACGCCTCCATCGATGATGACCTCCAGAGTCTTCCTCCAGCTGACCGTCTCAACCTCGGAGAAACCCGTGTTTAGAGCCACGATGAGATCAGGTTGCTGGCGGGCGTGATTGCTCTTGTGAACGAAAACCTCGTACGGTCCTTTGTAAAAAGCGGCTTCCCGAGTTCGTCCCCGAGACGCGCAGGGAGGGCACGCCAGTTCTGATTCAGCCCATTCGGTTTCTGACTCGGAGTTAGTCGGTATATTCGGGCCGACGAGGCAAATGTTGAGCGCTCGGAGGCTCGGGAGGTAGTGAAGGATTTCCTCCGTCATCGCTCGCCCGTGAAACTCCCGGGACTCGACGCTGACGAAATGGATGCAAAGCTTCGAGCGCATCTCCAGAGAGGGTATAGCCTGTTCTAGAGCAGCCAGAACGGTGAGCGGGAGCACGGTTGACTCCATTGCCAACAACTTCGTAGCTCGTGCGACATCCTTATTATTCGTCCCGAACTCCCTCGATGTGAACTCGGCCGCGAAGTCAAACTTTGGGAAGATGCACGTATTGTAGTCATCCCAGCCGCGAAGGGAGGAAAGCTGGATGTATTGCGTGCGCGGTTGGGGTGTGCGAATTGCCAACTTGTTCATATGATGCCGCGCGATTGCATAGTCAATCTTGAGACGTTCAACGCAAGCCACAGTTTGCAGGTCGCGACACAGGTCCGCATTGTGAGCGCGGTCGAACTCGACTGCGCAGCTAGGCGAACACCACCAAGCAAGCTCGCATCGCGAACACGCCGAGAAGTCGCCAGCTTTGCTGGTGTGAAAAGGTGTGTGGAAGCAGACCTCGCATTTGATCTGGTGTCTAACGCAGTTCTGATTGAGTTCACGAAGGTTGACCTGCTCAGGAAACGCACTGGATGTATCCCAGGAGCCCTGGAAATTTCTTGAACCTAAACTCCTACAGACTTCTGCTTATGCCAAATAGAAGACATTCCTTGGAATCAGAATGCTTACCTGCGCCATCGAGTATTGAAAAGGCGTATATGGCTGCGTTGGATCCGTCCGCTGGTCTGCCTGGTTCACCTCTCGGAACTGACTGCAAAGCTTCTTGTGGAATTTCCAGTCACGCCTTTGACAAGTCTGATTGCCTGCAGAATATAATAAGACGCATGAGATGGCAGTAGATGGAGGTTTCTGGGTTTGTGTACAGTACGAGACGCGTTCGCATCCTGTGCACTTTGACAGCTTCACACCGTGCGCAGGAGGCTGCAGACACCATTCGCAGATCAGACGGGCAGCCTGCAGTACTGATACATAGGGAGAGAACACCTTTGCGGGAATATCATCTGAGGTCATGAGAGACAATGATGGAGGGGAAAAGAGGTATGGTCAGGCATGCGGCAAGCCTTAATTGGCGTTGGCGGACTTGTAGCGGCGTTGTCCGTGCGGAGATCGAAGTCAACTACTCCGCGCGCCTCTCATTCTTTGCCAACCGCTTTGCAGGCCTGAGCTCGATCACCAGTGCACCGCAAATCCTTTGTACAGTGTCAGTCTAATGGTACCATGATCAACCCGCCTGGATGCCGGGCATGTGGCCATCCATCACTTCACACATTCCATGGGCTCCTGTAAGAAGGTCAGACCAATGCTGGCTCTAGTGGCTTTCGATACAGCTTTTACGTTAATCCAAGTGTCGTCTCGGAAGATACATTCTCCTCCGTATAAGTGTACGCACTCCAAGTTGCTTACATATAGTAGTGCCATAGTCACCTCTCCTGATGTCTGCTTAGCACATCTTGGGTGTCAGGAGGGACCTGCTCACACGTTTTCAGATGGAAACGAGACCTTCGGTTCTGGATCAGGCGAAGGGCTGAAGGTGCGTAGGATCAGCAGGCGTGCTTCGTAACCTTGCATAGCTTCACCTTCGTTGTTCACAAACCCTCTGGCATGCCCCTTGTCCGTATGCCGGAGTCCGGTTCTCGGGCAGTTGACGATGAACCGGACTATATCGGCCGTTAAAGGACGACGCCTGCTGGAGATCAACGAGACCATCAGGCGCTGATTGATATTCTGCCACAGTGGCTGCAATTTGTATACGTATCCACGTAGCAAACCTTCCTTGCAATATCATGATTTGGACAGTCTAATCCCGCTATTCAACATAGTACCCTCCGATCTCCTGGATATCCGCTACGAGAGCAGCTGGATTGTCGAGGCCTGGGAAATGCCCACCGCGCTCATGTTCTAAATTAAGCTCATTAGCCCGCAAGCATAGCCTCATTGAGGGTATGGATCACGTACCGTGCAAAAAGGTCAAATTGCCGACTTTCTCGATGTATGCCCGCGGAAATCCGAGATTGTACGGGAATGCACTGAAGCCCATCGGAGTCGCAGGACGAGGAACGTCAAAGTTCGATGGCAAGAAGTTCTGCGAATAGATCCAGGACGAGGACAGGAACGTCTTGGAGAGGTAGTAGAGCGAGATTGAGGTCAGGATCGCCGTGTCGTTGAGGACCGAAGGTCCAGTGCCGCGTTTCGGATCCGAAAACTCCGTCCACAGCTCGTACATCCAGGTGAGCTGTCCGACGGGGCTGTCGTACAACGCCAAGCCGATCGTGTTGGGCTATACTCCGAAATGTATCAGTTCCGACGTCCAGGGCAAGCACTAGCATGGTGTAAACAGAGCGTACCCTCCATTCTTGTTCGTCGAAGTATGCCATTCCACGAGCTGCAAACGCATCGTTGATCTTTAACTGTGTGATCTCGAACGCGGAAAGGCTGATGTTGGCACTCTGAGCGTCGGCTGTGGTAGGGGGCAAGAACGGAATGAAACAGAATTGTGCCGCGCGCACTGTTGAGGCGTAGTTGGCGTATAGGATGTACGCGACTTGTGAGCCCTGCATCAGCTCGGATGTCAATGGGGGAGCTTGGAGCGTTGGGTCATGCTACATACCCAATCACTACCAAAAGCCGTGTAAGTCTTGTATCCAAGGACGTCCACCATGAGCGTGTTGAAGATGCGGGCACTATCCTCGTTCGTCCACTCTGCCGAGGGAAGCGAGGAGAAACCGAAGCCTGGGAGGGAGGGCACAACAACGTTGAACGATACTAGAACACGAATACACGTTCAGCTGCATGAAGTCGGCCACGAAAGCAATACGGCATAATCTCACTGTTATTTCCTTGCGCATTCACTGCGCGGTCAGTCAACGGCTTGACGGTGGGCAGCCATTCATGAAAGGAGCCTGAACAGATTGTTGATCACTTGGTCAGACGCGGGATGCTCGAACTTACCAGGCCATCCATGGAACATGATCAGCGGGATGGCATCCGGTTCGGCCGACTTTTCGTGAACGAAATGCACTGTAACGTTCTCGATTTCGACCGTGAACTGGTTGAATCTGTCGGAAAACGTCTGAATCAGCGTGTGGAGAGCCCGAGCACATGCAAATCACATACTTATTGAGGGCAGTTTGTTGCTCATACCAGTCGAAATTATGCAACCATTCGCTGCGGAGCGTTTCTATTGTTTCCAGCTCGACACCCCATGTCTCGTTCCCGCCGGTGAAGCTCGGTGCCTTTGGGAATTGTGCGTTTGACACTAACAAGTTCATGCGATGAACTTCATCGGGAGGTATGTTAATCTTGAAAGGTTTGACATCCCAGGCAAGCGCGGGCAAGATGCTGGAAGTCAACAGCAGAGCGACAGAGATGAGCGTAAGCATCGTGAGCGGCGAGTTTCGCTGTTTTAGTTGGGGAGTATTGTCGCGTTTTCGGCCTTAAAAACAGACAAGCGTTTCTCCGTGCGGCTCAACCCACATGCCAATGAGTAAGACTGTGCCAATCCCAGTAAGCTTGCGCTTCCGTTGCTGATGAAGCTACACAAAGACGCGATTCGACGTAGACCTTGGTCAGCTGCAGTAGCGAGGTTATCGGAGCATTATACCTAATGTCGTAGCATCGAGACAGCAGATGGGCTCCTTCGTGAGCTTAACTCGAATCGAATGTCGATTGTAAGGGATGGCTTCAAGTTCATGTCGATGAGTAGGGCGGAATCAAAACTCCATCAGTTGAAGCACCCATGCACATGTACATCTGCACCGAGAGAGCATCCGAGGGAACAGGGGACATGCTAACGAACGGCATCACAAACAAATGTCTGAACATTTGCCAGCTACACGATGGAGTACGTAAGCGACGCAAACTTTGGAACTGGCTGTCTGTGGCCGAAGATGCTTGCGTGCAAGAAGGACGCGCGTCCCTTTGGTATGATGGGCCGGAATGGATGCAAGTTAAGGAGGGATTGTAGGCTAAGACCCAAGGGGTTCCACGGGAAAGCCAGGAACGCCAAGAAGACCGGAAGTTGACCCGAAGCATGTATATGGTGTAGAGTCTGTTGGCGCGCTCAAACCTATATGAGAGTGAAGCAACGACGACGGTAGACACGAAGTTATGCTGCTCGCGAGTATACATACCTGTATGTGGAAGCAGCTCGGAGAGTAGCGGAGTAGTACGAGTCAAAGCGGGCGGTTTCGCCGTGACGTCATGATCAGCATCTACCCCGGTCATGCATTATTTGTGTCCGGTATTCGAGCAAGTACCTCATGCCCATGTAGAGTACAGTGCAGCATCACGATAACAAAGGTAACATGCTCAGTGCGCTTGGCACGAAGCAGCAACAAGCATCAATATCCACTACGCAACGTAATATCCCGCCATCTCCTGAAGATCCGCAACGAGGGCGGCCGGATTGTCGAGGCCCGGGAAATGTCCGCCAGAGTCGTGTTCTGAAGAATCAGACTTGTGAGACCGAGAAAGTCACAAGAGCATACGGATGGGGTTCAGAACGCACCGTTGAGGAAGGTCAGGTTACCGACTCGCTCCACGTATGCCCGCGGGTATCCGAGATTGTAAGGGAACGCGCTGAACCCCATTGGCGTCGCCGGACGAGGAACGTCAAAATTCGTGGATAAGGAATTCTGAGAGTAAATCCAGGATGAGGACAGGTAGGTCTTGGAGAGGTAGTAGAGCGAGATCGAGGTCAAGATCGCTGTGTCGGTGAGGACGGACGGGCCGGTGCCGCGCTTGGGATCGGAAAACTCCGTCCACAGTTCGTACATCCAGGAGAGCTGTCCAGTGGGATTATCATACAACGCTAAGCCGATGGTGTTCGGCTGGTCACGGACGGGTGAGCTCATTGACACAGATGCGGCACATAACGAGCGGCACGTACTCTCCACTGCTGTTCGTGGAAGAAACCCATTCCACGAGCGATGAACGCGTCGTTATTCTGCAGCTGCGCAACCTCGAAAGCGGATAGGCTGACGTTGGCAGTTCGAGCGTCAGTTGAGGTAGGGGGCAAGAACGGGATGAAACAGAATTGTGCCGCGCGCACTGTCGAGGTATAGTTGGCGTATAGGATGTACGCGACTTCCGAGCCCTGCATCGGTTCGAATGTTTATTGGGGAGCTTAGAGTGTCAGATCATGCAACACACCCAGTCACTGCCAAAGGTCGTGTAGGTCTTGTATCCGAGGACGTCCACCATAAGCGTATTGAAGATGCGCGCGCTGTCCTCGTTCGTCCACTCGGGCGAGGAAAGAGAGGAAAAACCAAAACCCGGCAGGGAGGGCACGACGACGTTGAAGGACACTAGACAGTAAACGCACGTTAAATTTCTGACTTGGATGCGGGAGCAACCTGGCAAGAGCTCACCATTCTTTCCTTGCGCGTTCACGGCGCGCTCGGTCAATGGCTTGACAGTTGGAAGCCATTCGTGGAAGGAACCTTAATAAGCGTTGGTCACTTCATCGAACCTGCAGGCATGAGACTTTACCAGGCCATCCATGAAACATGATGAGCGGGATGGCGTCCGGTTCGGAGGACGTTTCATGTACGAAATGCACCATTATATTCTCGATCTCAACCGTGAACTGGTTGAACCTGCAGGACAGGCGGCGAATCAGCGCAAGCTGGGATTAAGGTGTAGAAATCGCGAGGATACCTGTTGAGCAAGGACTGTTGCTCATACCAGTCGAATTCATCAATCCATTTGCCGCGGACCGACTCCAATGTGCCCAGTTCGACACCCCATGTCGCGTTTCCACCGGTAAAACTCGGGGCATTTGGGAATTGAGCGCTTGACGACAACAAGTTCATGCGAATAACTGCCTCTTGAGGTATATCAACCTTGAAAGGTTTGACATCCCATGCAAGCGCAGGCAAGAAGTTGGCAGTCAAGAAGAGAGCGACGGAGATAAAAGTAACCATTATGCGTGGCTAGCTTCGCTGTGTCTTGATCGGGGAGTACCGTTTATATAGGGAAAGAATTTTCTCGGTTTTGGCTCAACCCACACGCCAAATGAGTAAGAGTATGCTGAGCCCAGGGAGGATTGCGTTTCCGTCGCTGATGAAGCTTGGCGAAACGCAGGTCGATCTAGGGCTTGGTCAGCTGCAAAAGCGACGTTCACGGAGCATCATACCTGGCGTTGTAGCACCAAGATGACATGCAAGCTTCTGTGTGAGCTTCTCGTTGAAACCTAATCCAAAGCCGGATGGATGTCGATGTCATGGAGTGCTAGCCTCAAGTTCAACACTGAACTCCCCAAAAACTTTCAATGAGGGCAGGATCTAGCGTCAGCCGGATCCCCTGGTTGGCATATATATCTGGGCTGAATGAGCTTCCGATTGAGCAGAGAGACGAGCTGACGACATCACGCTCGGTATGCTAAGGATCTACGCAGCTAAGCGACGTAGGACGTAAGCAGCGCAGACTCCGGACCTCGCTACTCTTGGCGGAATGTGTTTGCGCGCAAGAACATGCATCCCTTCGGAGTCGGTGTGTTTGTGCGTGATAGTAATACACGGCCGTGGCGAGCTCGAAAAGTACGAGGTCAAAGGAGGAATGCCATGACATCATCTGCAGTGCGCCTGCTGCATTATTCAATGATCGCCTTCAGTGCGGTGTGATTGCGCTCACTAGTAACACGGGCGACATGCTTAGTACGCTGGATATAAAGTAGGTTGAACATCCCTCAAAGAATCTAACATCCACTATACGACGCATGTATGCAAGGCAAAACCTAGTATGCTACGATCTGCGCTATGTCTCAGCGGGCCATGAGTTACTCCCGGGTCACGACTCCGCGGTCTCAGCCGGACAGAAATGGTCGGCAGAGAAATGGTCGGAGGATGGGATACAGGAACGGAAATGGAGATCTGTAAAAGCGCAATCAGATTCGCTCCCACGGAAACGCTTTGAAGCATACTCACAAGTAATTAAATGAGGTCTTCTTCTCCTGGCTTATAATGCTTCGCCATGTCCCAGAACGACGCCAATTTCGCGCCCAAGGCCTCCTTCGCGCTCGCATCCGTCGGGCAGCTCTTTGGCTTGAAGCCATTGAACGCCCTCTCCCGCAACTGCCCCTCCCACACCAGATCACATCTGTTGTCCACCAGCGATACGGCCTCCTCTGCCTCCCCTTCACCCGCGGCCGGCGTGGTCACGGCGGGAGCAGATGGTCCCGCTCCGTCGCCCTCTTCCTCGCCCTCGACCTCAACGTCGTTACCACGAGCGCGGGCAGCTTCGGTCCAAGCGATGCGGTCGAGCATCAGGTGCTTGTACTGGCGCAAGAACTTGGATGCGCCCTCGACGTAGACCATGCTGAAGTTAGGGTTGAAGATGCAAACGCCCGTGAGGTTCCGCTGCTCAGCGTTCTTGCGCACTTTGAACCGGTGGGCGGGGTCCGAGAGCGTCTTGATCCTGTCGTCACCGTCAGACAGGACTGACAGAAAGATGTAGAACAAGAACGAACTTGAATATCGCGCCATAAATGCCCTTATCGTCTTCGGCCGCTTTCTTCTTTTCAATCTTCTCCCTCCTTTGCTCGTCGGTCAGCTTGCGCTCCGCGTTCATCTTCTCGTGCGTATGCTTGCGCATCGCAACCTCACGCCGCACGCGCGCTTCGACCTTGGTCGGGTCTTGCACCGCATCGGAGGTGAGAACCTTCATGAGGTTTGCCAGACGGACTGTAGCGGGCGCCAGAATCAATACGCGATTCAGGATGCCCTAAATTTCGAAGTACCTTTAGGAGGGTCAGGAGGAATCAGGCCCATACGGATCCGGTCCCGCTTGTCCTGGAGCTCGGCTTGCCTACGTTGTTTGCGCATCTTCTTTTGCTCCTAAAAACCGTATGCGTGAGTTTCTTCTCCGAGGTGTACAACCTCCTCCTCACCTTCGTCGTGAGCTTGAGTGGCTTGAGCACGGCCGTGGCCTTGTCTCCCGGTGCTGGGATAGGGATAGGATGCTGAATATAGATCGTGATGGGCGAATCCGGTGATCGTATGTTAAGAGACTCGATGCCGTTGGCCAAGTCGTCGTACGTCTTGCGAGGGAGCAAGGACGCGTCCCACCACTCCGCATCCGGTGGTGCTTCCCTCTATCGCCCAACTCGAATGAGCACGTGGATGCCAAAGATAGAACTCCGGTGAATCGTACCTTGATATTCCTCTCAAGCGTCTCGAACTCGCTATCCAGACCCGCCTTTTTCGCGGTCTCCGCGATCCTCTGCTTCAGGGCTTCAAGCTGCTGCTCCTTGCGCATTTCTTCCGCAAGCTGGGTGTATTTGCCTTTAGGATTAAAGCGGAATTTGCGGCCGGCTCGCTCCTTCGGGGCGCCGTCGAAGTCGACCGGCTCGCCGCCGCCCTGAGCGGAGGAAGTACGGGAGAGCGGCGATTGCACGTAGGGGTTGGCTTTGGCCTCGATCGCCACCACCGGCACCGGGGTGGCATGCGAAGGTGTGGGTGCATTACGGATGTTGGCCTGGGGAAGAGAGTTAGGTGAATCCGCTGCACTGTTTGGTACCATGGCTCAACGGACCTTGATAGACGCAAACTTCGGCTGCATGGGCTTGTACCGGTCCTTCTTTGACTGCGGAGCGGGTACAGACATATCGAGCAGAAGCGGGTGAGCCGCCATCTTCAGCCCTGCGCCCTGTTGAGCCGGTTCGGGCGGCGGAGGAGCACCCTTCTTTTTCGATTGCGGCGCCGACTGTCGAGCGAGCGCATGAGAAATGAGAACAGAGGAAACGACAGGGGAATGTTTTAACACACCATGTACGGGTTGTCCTTCGTTGCCAGTTGCTTCTGCGCCGCTGCCACACGCGCTTTGGCCTCTGCTATCCTCTTCGCCATATCGTCCACGGACGGTTTGGAGCCTGAGGCCGCAGGTGACGCTACAGCTGGCGGGGGCGTCGCGACTGGAGCACTGCTAGGGGCGGCCTTCTTCATGGCTGCGAGCTTAGCAGCGATCTCTGCCTTCTTTTGCGCAATGATGTCGCTCATGCTCTGCTAAATGTGCACATTAAGAATGGAATTAGTGAGGAAAGCCACGGGCGGATAGCGAGATTCCGACCACTTACCGAGCCTCCTGCTCCCGGTCCATTGGACGACGTCTGCACGGTACAAGAGAGGTTATAGAGATAGGTCAGATGCAGCAACGGGTCGTATTCACCTTAGAAAGGGATGGAATGCGGTACTTACGGAGTCACTGTGGTGTGGAGCGTAGTTAGTACTTAGTCGTCGCACGCACGGCTGGGGCTGACCTTTTGAGCTTCTTGTGGGACGAGGTCTCCCCCGCGCCTTCGAAGGGCCGTTTTCTGTCGCTCATAGTGCCGAAGAGGGCAAGGAGCCAGAGCGAGCCAGAACGGAGATGGTGGTAAGGAGCAAACGCCCTCCAGCCGTCCAAGCGCGTCGCGGTCGTGGCTCTCTCGTGCTACTTGCGACAACACCACCTTCACCTCAGTGCTGCAAATCACTAACGCATACATATTCACCACCTATTGTCGATACCTTCGTGCCACTGCGGCCGGATATGTCGCGCGGAGAAGTAGACGGTCGTCCGTGGCATGCGGACCATCCGAACGCGGTTCGAGCGGGATGGCGTAGTTTGCACGTCGCCATCCGCCATCCGACACCTCCTTCCGCCATTCGATCCGCCCGCATTTCGAGTATAAAGGACGCATGCCTCTGGACGAGATGCACCAACTTCGGTTACCCTCGTTCTTTACCAGACACTGCTCTAAGTTCCTAAAGCTACCACAATCCCTCCTCACCTACCATGTCCAACGTCAGACGCTCTATGATCGCTGCCTTCGGGTTCTCTTCCCCATTGGCTAAGGTTAATCGTGCTTCTTTGACTACCTCTGCCTCTCTGGAATGCTCCGAGATGCCTATGTCCGACTCTTGGCACGCATTCCTCAACAAGAAGACCGGCTCCCAGCGCGACTCTAAGGCTCAGCTCCTTGACTCTGTTTTGGCTGCGTGCCAGGCCGACGCGGCGATCTTTGCGCGCAAGAACACCGCGAACCGTTCGTCTGTGCATATCGTCGACTCCTCCTCCATCAAGTCTCTCGCCGCCAGCATTGAGCAAGGCTCGCTTGCTACCTCCTTCCTGGATTCGTCTTCCTCCATTTCGTCTCTGGCGTCGGCTATGACCTGCCCCGGAACGCCTATGCTAGCTGCCTCCGAGTTTTCCTCGTTGACTGCCTCCGCCTCCCTAGAAGTCTCTGAGATGCCCATGTCCGACTCCTGGCACGCTTGGCTCAATAAGACCGCGGCGGCTCGTTCGGCGACTTGCCCCGGAGCGCCTGGGCTCGCTACCTCCGAAATGCCCACCTCCTCGTCGATGGGCGATTGCGCCTCTCTGACGCCCTCTAGCTCTCTGCAAGTCTCCGAGATGCGGATGTCCGACTCTTGGTGCGCGTTCCTCAGCGCAAAAACTAGCTATAAGCGCCAGTCTCAGGCTTCGCTCGTCGGTCTCGGGATCCGCTCGTCCATCGCGTCCTCTGCCTCCCTGGAGGTCTCCGAGATGGCAATGTCCGACTTCTGGCACGCTTGGCTCACCAAGAAGAGTAAGAAGATTGCTCCCGTCTACACGGCGACCTGCCCTGCAACCCCTAAGCTCGCTGCCTCTGGGTTCCCTGGTTCCCCGTCTTCTTCCTCCATGGAAGTATCCGAGGTATCGATGTCCGACACTTGGTACGCGTTCTTCGGCAAGAAGACTGGCTACACGCGCCCTTCCCAGGCTCCTCTCGCCGGTCTCGGAATCCGTTCGCTCATTTCCATTGTCGATTCGACCTCCACCTCGTCGGAGGAGTCCTTCGCGGCCAGCTCAGACGCGTCTTCTATCCTGTCCCAGGAGGACGCCTCGATCTTCGAAGAGTCGCCATCCACTGCTGAGGATTCGCCTGCCACCTCTTTCGAGGAGTCGCCTCTCTGCCATTCGGCGTCCGGGTCCTCGATCTCTTGGACCCCCGCGACGTCTCCTGTCATCCTTCCGGAGGCCGTTCCGACGAATCTCGCCGCCTCGTTCGGGCCGCGCTCTGAGCGGGGCCTCCGCAGAGTTGGCCACATCCGCCACGCGAAGGAGTACGCCGAACGCAAGGATCGCGGCGCTGTCCGTACCGGAGGCTACGCGCGCGGGCTCCTGAACAAGCTCTTCTCGGCTCGTACGGTCCGGTGCTAGAAATCGGCATGCGCGCTTGGGCCAGGTCAGTGGCTCTTGACTATCTTGTGCTTTGGACGCGACGCTGACCTCCCTACCTCTACAGAAACAGGCCCTGCCCTCGTCCTCGATTTTCCGTATGCCTTTTCCGTACTGCATCGCCTCTACACTTCTATTCCCAAGCCTCTAAACAAATTCTTCTCTCTATGGCCTCGGATACATCATCTCTCTGGATCTTGGACTTTCTCTCTCAAATAATTACACTTCGACTGCGGGTCTTCTTCATGGATTCGGTTTCTCGCCTCCACCGCCAGCTGCCCTCTGGCTCTCGCCTTCCGTCTGCCTCCACACGCACCGACAATGCCCTCTCCCTTGCGTCGCAACATTCCAAGCTCTTGTGATCGCACCCAGACCTCTGGCTGAACAGCCCGACGCGTCCGCCCTTTGGCCTCCCTCTTGGCCCTCTCTGGCTGTCGACTTTGTAATAACCCTCGACACGCCCGCGCCTGCCCGCTCATCCGAGCACTGCCTCCACTTCGGCATTCGCAGGACGCCTCGCCGGGGCCTGGTCCGCCCACTTCATCGGCGCTCGTAAGGCCCTCATCGGTTCTCCTCCCTTCCACGGGAGCATCCGCCAGCGCCAAACGCCTCCTCTGGACTTCTCGTCGCTCTTCGGGCAGGAAGACGCCTTGACCTCCAGAGATTCGCCTCTCTCTCCGACCTCGTCCCTCGGAGATACGCGACGCAACCACCTGACCCACGGCTGCCACCACATGGGCCTCGATACCCCGATACCCCGACTCCTCTTCCTCGCTTCGAGGGCTTGGAGTCGTAGGCCCTTTATACCCGCCCTTCATGAGCAACTTCCCGACTTGGACGCGGTACCTCTTCTGCACGATCTGTCGCTCTTGCGATGTACACATTCCTTCATGTAGCGGGGTGAGTGGGGACGGAATACAGAGTGCACGCTGTACTACGTCTTCACTTGCCCCCATGGCTTCGGCCGTCCACCCTCCTTTGTCCTGCCCTCAGAAGACCCGCCGTCCATCATAGTGTACAAAAACAAAACAAAAAGAAGGGCAATTCTGGATATTTCATGTGGCGATCTCTAATAACGTAGACAAAACTGAATAACAAACATTATATTTCCCATCGTTATCATGCTCCGGTGCCGCACTAGCAACCTGGCTGAGCGAGCTTTTGAGTTGAATCAAGCAACCTTCGATATCGATAACGTCATAGTTTTTCAAACTGCCAACGGCCATCTTCAAACCTAGACACTGTAATGTCACATATTGCGACAGTAGAATTTGATGGATACAACAACATGCTTGCTTGAAAAAGGGGTGGGGTAGATACAAGAATGAGCGGTAACGGGTTGCGTGGGCACTAAGTGTGTAGGTCGTCGTGAATAGTCGTTTGAGTGTGCTCAGCGAGTCAAGCGGGACAAGCGGGACGTTGTCCTACTGGATACAGTCATGCGGCGCGTTCCAGGTAATCCCGGTACATCCTATCAATAAAGTTCTTGTCGGTCTATGATGAAGCACGTCAGCGGATAAAATGCAAGATGCCCTCCTGAGAGAAACTTACGTGTATCAAAGTCAAGATTTCCCGGACAAAATCGTTACGGCTCAGGCCCTTGAAGTTGCCATTGACCTGCGCCAAGACCGACTGAAGGAGAGCATCCCGAGCAGCTGAGGTATCGATAGCAGCGTCAGAATTGCTGTTCGACGGGATCTTGGAGGAGGGAGCGCCGTTGGGCAATGGCTGGCTGTGAGTGGCGATGGACGACAGCGAGTCTGAAGCTTGGCCCTCGGACCTCTTCGCTTTCTTCTTCCCCTTCTCTTTCTGGCCAGTTGCGGTATCGCCATACCCATTAACGACAATCCCTCCCGCCTTGCGACCTTTGTCCCTCGTCTTATGCCTTCCGGCTGCGGCGGAATCAAACGCGTCCGGGTCACTCAACACGCTTGTATCCGCGAAGTCCAGCTCCACGATACCATCTATCCTCGTGGCACCATCGTGCAGCGGCTGCGGCCAAAGCTCGGAGCTATCCCCGAAGCGTGGTGGCATCGGAACGTCGGTTGCGGGTGGCGACATCACTTCCTCAGCCTGGGTGGAGGGGCCCGGCAGCGATGAGGCGGCAACGCGGGGCGTGCGGTTGAGGGAGGAGCTCGACGAGTTACTCGTAAGGAATTCCGACCTCTTTGCAGTGGCACCTATGCCAGAAGCCTTCGCAGAACCTGAGCCGCGAGGCTCGGGAGGTGGGCTAGACGTTGATTGCGTGGGCATAGGACGCGACACCATGCGCGGTGTTGCGTCTCCGTGTAAAGATGCTCCAGTGGCACGGCGTCCGTGAGCAAAGCCCGGATCGGGGTTGAGGTCGGGAAGTCCGGGCACGGCTAGAAGGGGAACGCCAGCAGAAGCACCAGCGGATTGGAGCGAGATGTCGGCGAGATCTTCGACGTCAAGGACGGTAGATGACTCGGAAAGCCCGGCTTCAGACGCAGGGGTGCTCGGTCCTCCTGAATCAAGCTCGTTGTCTCCATACGAGCGGGAGAGAGAGGAGCCGTTTGTCGAACGACGGGATGTCCCAGAGGTAGTGCTCGAGTAACCTGAGCGCAAGCTGGATTGCCCGGATTGTAACCCGCCTCTGTCACTTGCATGGCCGACAGCCGATGAAGACGCCGATGATGCTGAACCAGACCGTAAACCCATAAGTGAGTAGATCACGTCCTGAGTCAGGATTTGAGGGACACTTCCTTGAGTCGGACGCGGGGAAACGATGGAGGGAGCTGGGCCTGGGTGTTGAGGCGTGGATGGCTGGGGAACCTGCTCAGGATCGGGCAAATGTGACGATGGATAGGTCTGGGTTTGAGAATTAGTGACGTAACCGGCTTGGGGGAGCTGCGATTGTTGCGATTGTGGGTACCGTCCGGCGTTCTGCGCGTATGAAGGTTGGGAGAGCGTCGAGGAGTGGGAGATAGGGAAAGGTAGCGTCGTGGAGTGGGCGGTGGATGGTGGGGGTGGGAAGCGGAATGACTGATTCAGATCTGAACCAACCAGAGGAGCGATATGTGCGGTATGGGTGGGAGCAGTATGGGACGCGGGAGCAGGGGCTGTAGCGGAAGCAAAGATAGAAGCAAGGAGTGCAGGACCAGAATGCGGCACGGCTTGTGGTTCGAGTGCCTGAGGTGGTTGCGGAGGTTGCGCTATCGGAATCGTCGTGCTTCCAGTATGAGCGTTCCCGGTACCCGATACCGCGGCAAATAAGCCCTCGACTGTCAACTTCTGTTCTGTGTTCAAATTTGGCAAGGCTGCGGGGGCAGTGACGGCCGAGTTTCCGACGTTCATGTTCATGTTGAAGAACAGTCGATCCACCTCGGAAAGGCTTTGGCCATGTCTCTGTGGCATATGATATTGCGGGGGTTGTTGACGATCTTGCGACTGGGCGCCCACAGCCGATATCGAGTCAGATGGTGCAATTTCATCCGACACCCAAGAGTATGAGGCCTCTCCCTCCAGCTCGTCTTCTGCATCATCGGCAATGCTCGTGGCACTTGCTGGGACGTACACGCGACGGGGAGCGCCGCTCACTGCCCCGTGCTCACGAGTGCTACTGCTGTCGGAACGAGAAGCGTTCTGGAGGACCGAGGTTTCTTCCTCGGGTGCTTGTCCGTGAGGAGGGGGTTCTCTGTACGGGCCATATTGGTATTTCTCGGGGTAAGGCTTGCCGCGCTTGATGTAGTGAAGTAGTCTGGGCATCACAGGTGAGCATGAGGCGGCCGGTCCCGTTTACCCTATGATGATGCTTACCTGGGTAGTACTGTTGTCAATGGTTCGCGTGTGGGGGTGACGTGCATCCACAACCCGTATATGACCTTGCGGAGCTTGGCCTTTCTTGGAACGTCCCTAACCGCGCGTGCATCGCTCCGTGGTGTCGGAGGACGCCCGTAGATCCTCGCCATGCGGGCCCTGGTGAAGTCGGGGTATGTGTAGTGGTAGGTGTACGAAGAGCCGTCGGGGCCGTCTATATTATCCTCGGGGTAAATGTAGGATACCCAATCCTCGCCACCGACGCGATTTAAGATGTAATAGCCATAATGAGGGTAGTCTTCCCTGTAACAGTACCATTATCAACACTGAGCGCCTTCAGCGAGTGGCCGGTCATACACACCTTTGAAACAAAAACATAGATCCTTCGTAGGGCATCTTCTCCCATTTGGGAGTCTCGTCCTCGCCCTCTGTCGTCGGTTCACAGCTATAGAGTGCAACATGGTGGAAACAGTCGAAGAGTTTCTGGACGGTGGGTTCCCGACGTCGGATCATCTTGAGATTGGTCTCCCAGATGTACACCTTGTTAGTGGCATCTGGGGTGGCTGTCGGTTGCGGCGGATGCGCTGGGGGTTGTCGAGGCCCATTACGTGAACGGTTCGGGCTGTGAGTTGTTGGCCTCTGAATTGCGTTGCGACGAGCCATGGAGAGGATAGGTGGCAAGGGCGGATGTCGAGGAATATAGAGGGAGGATGTGACCGTCTTTGTCTGCCCTTGTCCGCCACTTGAACTTAGCGCACGCCGCGACCTGCCTCATGCGCACTCCATCGATCCGCGCACCTACCGCTCATCTTGCCACGATAAGTATGGTATTGGGATAAACCAGCTCTGCCGTACGATACAGGGATCGTATACATGATTCCCTCAATTCGCCCACGTTGAGCACACTGCCTGCAGGCTATGAAGCCCCTCACCCGACTCTCCAGCATATTCGTGTAGCTTTCGACCTCACTATGATCCTTATAGGCATCCATTTGTATGCAGGTCGACTTGACTTGATGGGAAAGCTACTACATGACCATCGTGTAGACCATTGGTAGGACCCCATTTATCCATCGCGATCATCGTACAGATAATAAAGTACAGAAAATCAAAACGCGGCACATCCGCTCTTTAGTGTGCACTGAATCGCCGCTGTGAGGAACGACATGAGCTGACATCGACGACAAACTGATCAGGGGCAGCACTCACGCGAAGATCTGCGCCCTTAAGCTGCAGCGCCGGAACGATCAGGACGAACAGACCTGTCACAATCCTGTCGATGAAAACGTTCAACGGAACAGTCGGCAGCAGGAAGACTAGGGAACAACTTACGCGGCCTCCACACCAAACGTCTGCAGTGCGCCGTGCTTCGTCGCCCAGGGAACCTGGAAATACGCCACTGCGAATCCCCCCAGGGTTCTGGAAAGGTTGATGAGACCGGAGACTTCTCCTTGATGCTTGGGGAAGCAGTTGTTCGCATAGGCATCTGCGTTTGCCAGACAGCAGTTAGTTTCCTGTGACAAAGAGGCTGCTCTGCGAGCGATGGACGCACATATCGCGACGGTGTTGATCATGACTGCTACCTCGGCGATGCCCCATCCCATGATGATGGCAGCAACATTGAGGTGCTTCTGGATTCCGGCGCCAAGTGCCACATAGCCACAGATGTAGAGCGGGATGGCGACGTAGCAGGCCCTGAGGACGACATGGGATTAGCACACTGGTTCTCCGGGAAGAAAAAGAAAGAAGAAAGTTCACCAGAGACGAGCCTCCGCCTCGAAAACACCATGATGACGTCGAATGTAGCTGTTCATGATCCAATCGTTCGCCCACCGACCAAAGAGTTCACCGATAAGCACTGCAACCTGTTCCCACCATTAGCCAGGTTCCATCGTTGCTACAGAGAATCGAAGAGTACCAATGGAGTCGCGTACAACCCCGCGATGACGGTCTGCGAGAAACCGAAGCCGACCGGAGGGGGCGTTCCCAAGAAAACCGCGTTCGTAACATTGATCCCGATACTGAAACCGAAGAGCATGGCTTCGAAGACCAGGACACCCAATAGGTGGGGTCTCCACACGATGCTGATTGCCGCGAAGATGACCTCCTTCCACGAAGAGCGGTACTTGGCCATGCTGAGGCCGGTGAGGCCAACAAGCGTGCGCAAGTGATAACGAAGTCCAGGTTTGCGCGGCGAGGGAGGGTTGGGCTTGACCGTGCGGTCGTACATCCTACGGAGACCCGTCATGTCATCTTCTATAACCAGACGACCACAAAGGTACTCACGTTTCTTCCATGAAAAGCGCGATAAGGCCGACAACGACGGCGCCGTAGATCGAACCGGCGCCGTAAGACCAGCGCCAATTCACGCGTGCGACAGCAAAGCCGAAAAGGAACGGCGAAATGAAGGGTGAAATGATGAAGCCCATTGTCCAAAGGTTAAGCTGCGCATCATGAGGTGAGCCGACTTCAAGTATAATGAGCGGTATACCATACCTTCCGGGCCTGGATATGGAAGGGATACAAGTCGGTAACAACGTATAGGCCGGTCACTTGTGGACAGGTTGCAAAGAACCCGTTCAGACAACGCATAGCCGTGAACGTTTTGAGGTTAGGGGCAAAGGTGCAGCCAACGAGGAAGCCCAGGGCAAGAACCTGGGACCAGAACAGAACAGGCAGCCGACCGTAGCGCCGCATGAGCATGACGGCGAACAGGCCACCCCATCCTGGCTCGTTGCGTGAGCTTCGAATGAAAGCCAGGTATATCCTGTCTTACCGAGCAGAAAGATGCTCCAATTACTCGTCAAGTTGTTAATGACGCCTGTAGTGGTATGGAATTGCTGGGCGAGGGCGAAAATGGCAGCGATGCCAATACCAGAGTCGAAATCGGGGACGATAGCAGCAAGGGTTATGATCGCGAGTTGTACGGTCTTCTTGCGATCTGACCAGTTCAGAGGGTCGTTAGGATCGTCTGTCGGCCTTTCAAATATTGAGCATCGAAATGGAGATGCGTTGCTCGACGCACGTACTGCGGCCACAAGACCTTCGACCCATCCCGAGAGAGCTTGAGCTTTGAAGCTACCTTCTCTCCGAACTCGATCCGAGCTTCCCTGCACAACAGAAGACATTCATTGACCCTGTGTGGCGTCGAGAATTCTGTATCATGTACTCACTCGGGATCGATGACCAAACGACCGGCATTGTCTTCATGATAGGTTGACAAGTCCATCTCGGACTGCCCGGCGGTACCCGTTGCAGACTCGTGGAATGATCCATCATCTGCCACCTTCTCGGCGGAGCCGTCGCCTCGTTTTTGCACCTCCGTCGGAGACATGGCTGGGCTGGGGAGGAGGGAGGAGGGCGACCCGCTCTTTAAAGAGGCCGTTTAATGGTTTGCACTTTATCCATTCCGCCGGTAACAGGGTTGACAACGCCCAAGAGTTATGACCGAGAATGTCTCTGCGCAACTCACGCTAGTGTCCATCGCGCTGGGGAAAGCTTCGTCGAAGCCTTCCACGAGCCAATCATAGCGGCGGAGTTCTCATCATAAGACCCTGGGAGGTTTCTATTCCCCACGCACCCGCGAGGCACGGGTTTGTATCTTGCCCTTGCCTTGACCTCATGAGCATTCTAGAAGCATGCCCGACGGGGGCCGCCGACTGTCTATCCAAAGGTTTCGCAAGCATAGATCGTAGTTCATACATGCGCATGAACACCAGCCGCGTGCTCTTGTCCATGTTTGTGGTCCTCCTCGACTCTCTTTTGTACCTTTTGTACCTCCTTCGCCCAATCCGTCCTGCGAACGGGAACAACCTTAGCTTTATACGGAGGACGGAACGAAGAGCTGCGAACCTCAGACAGAGCCAAACCCCGAACACAGAGGCATATATTAACGATACTGTTAACCCGATCCACAAACCTTCAAGACCCATGTCTTTGCGGAATGACAGCCATATGCCAAACGGTATACCTGGTCAAACATGTCAGGCAACTCATAGAACCGCCTGTTGAAAAGAGTGCAGACCGATGATGTAATAAGCACTGCGATTGCCGCAGGCACATTCAGCCAGGGCAAGATTGTCGCGCGATCAACGAAAGCACACACCTCAAGTTGAGCATCGCTCCAGTGAACTGGAATCCGCGTGAGGCCCGATGGGAATCGAAGATGGCATAGAACACACCTGCTTTCCTTGTGCCCGGAGGATGCCGGCGGTGACTGCACTCAGACCATCGAAAACCTGGAAGAGCGCCACAAGGGGCAAGATAGACGCGACCATCGTGATCACCTCTACAAACCTGATATGAGACCAATTGCAAGGGAAGTGAGTTTGGGGTATCATACCCAGGTCGTCATTGAACAAGCGGCCCCAGTTGCGCCTGAATACCATGAATAGCGCGCTGCGCAAGGAACGTTGTAGTCAGCGAGCAACAGAACTGCCCGGAAACGGCCACACCTATTGAATGCGCCAAATATGAGCGATAGAATGAGCGCAGCCTTCGCAACCACACTCGCACGCTTTCCATTTTGTTCTCCCAAGAGGTTCCCGATACTATTCAATAAGGATTGATATACAGTCAGTAGTCACGAATCAAGTATGCACCAATAAGGTGTGTGCAGCGTAGCGGAGCGACACAGAACGGGCATGGTTATCGGGACCGTCAGTGGGAGCGATACATCGAGAGTAGTTCATCCTGGAACGCACCGGACTGAAGTCGCCACGCTCAGCGAGAAGGGAATCTGATACGTCGAAGAAGCCGAAACAAGTAGTACGCTTTGCGTGGCAAGGACACTTGGGCCAAGGCTGTTTGATAACAAAATCCGATCAGTCAATATGCTTCTGAGATTGACGACGGTATACCCTCATGGACTTACAGGCTGGCGGCAACTAGCGGGTTCCGATGTGAAGATGTCGTTAACGCGGGAACTTTGGGGTGAAGATGCGTCATGACAACTCACGCCCAACAAGCTCCCAGCTCCACCACTCGCTCGCGACCTGGCCTACGCCGGCGAGGCCCAACTGGACCAAGATGCCTAACGGAACATGAGCATGAGGTCAGCTTTCACGTGCGGAGGACGATAGGGGCCGCTTTAGTGCCTACCTAGATTAGCGAACATTCGCATGGAAAGGGGATGCCACGCCGTGTGAGGGACGAAGAAGGCGCCATATATGATGGAGGCGAGAGAGATCAGGTTGAACGAGATCGCGCTCGCAATTGGGGCGCCTGCCAGGCACAACGGTCAGCATTGTACGAAGTATAGGATAGAACGATGAGGGACTGCGCTCATGATGAGATGAGGGAAGAGCGGCAAATTATCCACTGGGAGGGTATAATGAGGACAGGGCAGCACAGTCATACCTATGAATCCCAGGCGAACGGGCTTGGGGCCCCAAACTGTCGATGAAATGAGTTGCGTACGCATTCCACCTCAAATAGGAGCCATACCCAGAAGCCAGTTAAGCAGCGCATTGATTGGCGCTACCACGATGATAATGCGCGTCGGTACGGCAAACAACCCTTCCGAGCATGTGTCAGATTCCGAGATGCTTAAAGCATCGGTGAAGGTTATCACCTTGAGATTGGAAATATCGCCTACACGTGCATCAGCTTCGATTTCAGTTTAGGTTTAGTATGCGAGCGCGAGCGTACCTTGAAATACAATTGAATGCGTATGCGGGTAGTCCCAACGATAGGTATTTCAAGTAGAGGGCGGCCAAGCGCGCCACGTCCGAATCCTGCTTCAAAGCTAGCAAAATAGACTCCGCATTGAACCAGATAACCAAAATAGGCTAGGGATGTCAAGCGTGAGTAAGGAAGTACTCCATGACCTTTGGGTTGATGAACTGACGATCAAGGTGGCTGCCATAACCACAGCTAGAGAGATTGCCGAAGCGTTATCAAGAGATGGACGTGTGAATTGTCAGACGGAACTGACCCATGCGCTGACTCCAAAGACCAACCAAGTTTGGTTGCCGTCCTGTCCACGCACCAGGGAGCATGGTGTCGAGGGTACTTGTGAAGCCCTGGATGATTGAAAGGCCGGTAACAGAGGCAGTCATGCTGCCCAGGGTGGAGGCAGCGAGAGCTGTGGTAGACAGATGACCAATGGACACAACACTGGCGATGACCAGGCTGTACTCTAGGGCATGTGTGCTATGGTCACGGTCAACACGATTGGAAGCAGAACAAATCGTCTGCGGTAGTCTTACCCAAAGACTGTGGCAGACCAAATACGTCAGAAGAAATGAACATCGGTCAGGAAAGAGCTCACCTGGAAGTGTATATTTTGCGAGGATTTTGATCTCTTCTGCGAGCGCATGCACAGGAACAGGTTGCGACACATTAACCTCCGCTTCATCGACCTCCTCGGGGATCCTCGGGATGAGAGGGCTGGTTTCGTTGACAGCGTTTGGGAGGATGCCTTCAGGAGCACTGCCTAAACTCATCTTCGGAGGCCTTAGGTAACCTCCAGGAAAGGAGGTACGCCTCGATTGTTGCGCTAGAAGGGTCTGCGTTTCTCCAGTTTCATTATCATGATCGTTATCTTCGTCAGGCTCTTCCTGAACGCGGTCAGAGACCCCGGAGTCGGTGTCGCGTGCGGGAGGATGTGCACCTTGGTTGGCATTCGATCGGGCAGCCGCATATTGCGCGAGGACGGCGTAGTCGGAGGGGAGAGAGCTGGGGGTTCCGTAGTGGACGTAAGTTGAGGACATGATAAGTCGTGAAAAAGGTTGGTTGCCGCTGAGGATACACCTCCGTGCGTAATGGAACTCAGTCGCGCGATACTGATAAGGGCTCGGACAGCCTCCCATCGATCACGTGTACGCACTGAAGTACCGCTGAGCGACCGACCTTGCACCAGCGCGCTCTTCCGGCAGGCCTCCTTCCGCTGCAAGCCATGGCGCTCAACCTACGGCAGTGGTCGACGACGCCGACACACCAGGCCAAAGACATTATACTCAGAATTATCTCTGGCGCACAGGCTCCCATACCGACAAGGGATGTCTACCAGCTTGCGTTGAACACACCCATACGTGGCCTGAAGCAGAAACGGAAGGAGGCAGCAGCTCAGGCTGCCTCCACCTCCGAGTCGAACACGGGCACGCCTCAACCGCCAAACCCACACCACCCGGTCCGGTCAATGACGTGAGCCTTCGTGTTGCAGCGACTTCGCGCGATTCCTCATTGCAGGCAGATTCCTCAAGCGTAATATACTCCCGCAGCTGGAAAAGGAACAACTCATAAAGCGCGTCCACATAGCGCGTAAGTTGTCTCCGGAGGAGATCGAACATCGCCTCCGTGCGTCGGCGTCCAGCAAGATCCCGCGTGAGAAGCGGGAGTCCGCGCTGCAGCGGCTGGTCATCGACGAATGGGGTTGGTTGGAAAAGAAGGTTAAGTTCTCGGTGGAGGATCAGATAAAGCACGCAATCAAGCGGGTTGATGATGTTGAGGAGAATCTGAGGACGGCCATAAAGTCACTGGACCGGAAGAAATTCGCGAAGGAGCAGGCGAAGAAAAAGGAGGATGAGGAGTGGATGCGGCAGGTTGCGGAGGTGCGGGAGAGGGCAGCTGCTGCTGCCAGGGCACAGTTTGAGTCGCAGTCCACGCAATGAACTCTATTCCGTACGTTGTCTAGTGCTTCATCGTCTCGTCGGATGAGTTCATGTAGCAACACCTTTAGGTACTTCTTACCTTACCTGCACTGCTCGAGCATAATCAATCCTCGTGATCTCACTTCAAATGATGGAGGTACATATCACGATCCCGCACTTGATATTCGGAAGTCGCAACTTCGTTTCTTAGAACGGCACGATATATACCGTCTTCGATACGCATGCTTGAATTTCCTATGCAACCGCGTGCCAATCACCGTGAACATACCTTCGGTTGTTGCCATCCGGTGTGTATATATAGATTGCACATATATGTAGAACATATTCGTTATAGTATGGTGGCGAAAAAACACTGCGGAACGATGCCTTTCTTCGACTCACGGCGGCTCCCGCAAACAGAAAGACTTGGTGATGCACGTGGGACGCGACGTCTACGGGACTTCGCGCCACAAATTCTCCAGCCTCCACGCCAGCTGCAGGACAATGCTACCTCACTACCTCTGCTCGCATGTCCAGAACGCGTTCCGTGCACGACACGCACGCATAGCGGTCGCACACAATACCCAAAACCTAGGCATCCTCAACATCCTCCTCCGCGCCGGCTTCCTAACCTCCCTCACCCGCGGCACGTCGGACACCCCCGACCCGAACCTCTTCCACACCGTGAACGACGCTCAAAAACGCATATGGGCGGACCTCAAGTACCGCGACGATAGGCCGGTTCTCAGCGATATGGAGCTCGTCTCGAAACCGAGCAAACGCATCTTCATGGACGTCAGCGACTTGCGGAGGATATGCACGGGGCGGCGGGCGCAGTTCGTAGACCCGTTGGTGATGGGAGAGGTTGCGGTTGTAAGAACCACCGACAGGGAGCATGAATGGCTGGAGGCGAGGGAGGCATTGATGATGAAGCTGCCGGGGGAGATCATCTGCCGAGCGCGGTGAAGCGCTCTAATCCTGGTCATCCGGTGAGTAGTTTCGCATGGCCGTTAAGGAGGTCTATTGATCAACGTACAATTGTATTCAGCAGTTTTGCGCGACCTTGTTAGCCTATAATTATGCTCTCATCGTGCCTCATGAAGCTTCCGTCGGCAGCACTCAATGGTAGTTCCTTTCAGGAAGATGTGAAGACACTATGAATGAAACGTCATCGATGGCTATTATTACAACTGGACTCGGGTAGAGGATGCTCTCCTAGATGCTGGTCAACGGACACTACGGACCGAGACTACGTATGGGGACGACGAGTATGGGTATATTCATCCTTGCCTTGCGTAGTCCTTATCCGCCCAGATTGACACATCTCTCGTCCTTCTCATGGTAGAGGTCCATTCGCAAAGACGATAGCGGAATCCGTCTCATGCCCCACGATGTCTTTGTAACTTGTCGCCGTTGATGGAGATGGCTGTGAAGACTAGTGACAATATGGGTTCAGGAGGCGTACACGCTGCCCACCAGCAAGATTGTATCACAGACCTCGGCATCGTACTCCAACCTGCGACGCGCTTCGAGGCCCCTGTCGTCTGCTGTCATAGTCTCTATCTTGATCTCGATGCCGCGGTCGGTGTGCATACTTCGACCAGGTTGACGCAACTACCAATAGCGAGATAGTTCAATAAAGCTTCTCGTCGTGACCCCGCTGACAGAGAGGTGCACACTTCAGACTAGCTCAACTCACCCCGAGTACGCTGGATCTCACGGTGGTGGTGTTGTGGCTAAACCCGGTCGGGAACATGAGACTCATATTGGGTTCAAACGCGTAGTGCCTTATTTGGTCGCGCGCATTGAGGGTGGCCAGCAGAGAGTTGATGTACAGGCGGCCCATGATATGATAGAGTCCTAAGCGTACATCAGTCTCTGGATGGTGAGCCATGCTCTGAGAGGAGGATACCGATATAAAGGAGGGTGTTCGGGAGGACGAGTAGCTGTGTCATGGTCAGCGCCGGCAGACTCGCTCTGGTATATCAAGCTCACAGTGACCAGCGTGGCGATTGCGCACATGCTCGTTAATATTCCCGTGTTAAGGACGAATAGCATCTAGCCCCCAGCTCGTTCTATCAAGGCTCTACAGGCGTCGGGATGATATAGTGAACTCACCAGTCTGTTTATCAAGGCCCTAGTGTTTCGGAGTGAACTACGCTTCGTGCGGTACAATATCGTACACAACGATACAGCAATAAGGATATCGCTGGCCGCGGCAAGGATGACGATCATCGAAGACAGGACCTGCGAGAAACGTGTTTATCTTGCATTCGATTTGTTAGTCAAGTAATCTCGCCTTGTGGGGTGCAAGGTCTGCCCAGACCTTTGCCCCTAGACTGCACAGTAACAATCAGTTTGATCCCGCTAGAGATGCCGTAACATACGCTATAGTGGCGTAACCTGAACTGACGGCTGCGAACAGTTAGGTCTGAATCACCATCGGGCAAGAAAACTGACCGAACTCGGCAACTATAAGAATGACCTTGAAGGACGCTTCACCTGGATCCGATATGAACACCAGAAACATCACGTACGTTGAGAACGGTCAAAGGAATGTTCTTATTGCTGACTAAGTCGAGATATAAGCATCAATGCTTAGGTGGACATGGCAAAATCCTGACGTGTATAAATCCTGAAAGTGAAGAAACTAGTGCGATTTCAGAAGAGAGCGGGAAGCGGGTAGCTAACATGGCCATGACTGACCTCTTTACAAGCAACGCGGTGGCCCCGTTGAAGTAAAGTTCCACCTATCTCTCAGCGTTAGAAGTGACGGTTACTGAGCATTGGATGATCTCACGGTGTTTACTCTAGTGACATAATGACAAGTCAGGTCAGAGAGCTTTGCAGGAGAAACAGCACATTGGGGGACATACGCAACGATTTGGTTCAGAATATCCAAGTTGTTGAAGTTCACCACCGTGTAAATGAACAGCGCCGCTACCGATATATTGAGGCATCAGCAAATAACACGTTCTCGTTGCATACACTGAGCGTACCGGTGATGAGAAATTGGTGAGCAGTGTCGGTCAGAAAGCTGGTAAGCACCTAGCATGCCGAATTCAGGATTGAAATAGAGAAAACTGTGAAGGGGAGGAACTAACAAGACCCTTGATGTACCATGGGTCTGATGGATAAGAAACGCAGTACAGCCAAGTCTGCACAACCGTGACTGTGAAGTGTGATTAACTTGCGCAGATTTGCAACGAACCTTCATACCTCCATAGAGCACGGAAGCCAGAATCACGCCGAAGAAGAGAGCACCGATGCTGTTGGAAGCGATATTCGAACAACACGTCTGATGGTACGGAAGATGCAACACTTACTTGCCCAACACAAGCGAAGCCTCTTCGGCATTCATCATCAATAAGACGTAGGCTTGACGGGCGAGAACGACGGTGGAGGGCAACCTCCGGCGTTATGTACGATCGAGATTGTATGGTTGAATTTCCCAGTCGCAAGCGTATTGAGGCCGTAGGGAGCAGATCGTTGAGAAGGTCGCTGAAGGTGGCCCCATTCCATCCGAGAGACGTAAAGCCGGTTTGACACCGTGGCTACTCATGCGATGGCGGCACCCGACAGGCTGGGTGAAGGTTATGAGTATAATGACAATATATAAATTGTGCCGTTCACATGTGATCCAAGCCGTGGGTAGCTCGCTCGCAAGTCGATGCGGGCCGTGGGACGTCCTGGGCCCGATGTGAGTTTCCGTCCAAACAGACCGCTTCCTGCTCCTGCTACTTTGACTCACACAGACCTACTCATAGAGACCCAAAGAAGCCATCTTAACGCGAGTAATTGAGCTCCATTCTATACATCCCGAGTACCAATCTCAACGGACTGCAACGGCATTCGCTAGGTCGGTAAATGCTCGGCCCCAGTACACAATCAAGGTTCCTCCCGGATCTGCGAATTGCGATCGATATGCAAGTTCGTAGATATGATCTGAGGTGCGTGGGCCGGCTGCTAGTCCATGAGTACTTCCACTGGTCAATCGAGGGAAATTGATACCTCAGGAGTTAACATGAATAAACGTTGTCGTCATATCAGAAACCTCAAAGCTCTTGAGTGGCTTGTGATCGGGGGCGAAAGCGAAGAGGCAAAGGCGCTACTGAAGATGCGACTGAATCGGTGTCAAGTTGTGGTGAGTATTCCGCAGTATAGCCCGCCCACGGCGGCACTCACATTCCTGATCTTTTAACTGGTAGCCGGTCCTGTTTTGGCTATTAGCAAGATCGCACCCCTTGGTGAGTTTTGTGAAAATCGTTGCCATGGAATCTACGATGATTCAGTGGTCGATCGCTTATTCAGTGCTGCGACGCTAACAAGGCGGATGTCCCCTGTGCCCCTTTCTCTGCCTAGTCAACCCAGGACCTCGTCTTCCACCTGTACGCTCGTCGGACAGGTGTAGCCTCTAGTTCAATGACGCTTATGCCCTCCGAACTCCGATGGAACTCCACCGCAGTGCTTCTCGTTAACCATACCGCGGAGTGAATGATATGGAGATCTTCTGGGGCACCTTATCTCATGCAAAGAACTGACAACCGCAGACTGCAGGCTATCTAAGGTCTATTCAGGCAATGAAGTCAATATCGCTTGGAAGTACTGTGTCTTTTCTACGTACCAAGTGAAACGTCGCGAGCAATGCTCGCAGGTGGAAGCCGAGGAGTGAATTGGTGCGTGTTCATCCTGATCATTACGATTGTCTTGACGTGATTATATCAACGGATAGTAATCAGCAGGGTAGGTTCATTGTCTCTCGAAGAAGCCTCGCGGTGCATACCAGTTTAGACAAACTTGAGTACGATTACACGATCGTATCACGAAGACGAGGGTCCTTCCCATGAAACATGAGCGCGCACCACTCTCTCACCTCAAGAACCCCTGAGAGCGCGCAGCAGCGTGACACTGCAGGATCATACAGCTCGGGTGATAATATAGCCCTCGAGGGCGTCAGACGGAAAAGGTGCATTGACCAATGCGCAAGCTGCTCGGAGGAGGGTGTACGAGGTTAGAATACTAGGGCACACCATTCGATAACGTTCAGACATGGCTTTGCCGTGTTTCTGTCTCTGTCGGGGGCACGCGTACGCCTGTTATTCATCCAACGTGCCTACTGCGCCGGGCGTTTTTGATAGTCCCGGATCTTTCAAGTGATGCTCGTACACCTTTGATCGTCTCTGCAATCTCTCCTGGGGAACAAGGTCCTTTAGAAAGCGTACTACGTGCGAGAATGCACGAGCTCTGGCAACGTACTCGCAAGATCGGGGGACTCTGCTTCAAACTCAAATCGTTTCTTGCCATCGTCACGATGAACAACAAGTTTGAATGTTGAAGATGATTTGTTTGATTGTTGACATGCGATGTCTTTCATGTGGTACGACATGGTCTTCCCGCTTTCGAATACGGCCTTTGCGCGCCCCGAAGAAGGCATAATCTAATCGTGTAACATGAGCCTAGGATCGAATGAACGAAAGTGATAAGGTCTCGAACGCACGTGGATGTAAGCACCATCAATGGCAAGAGTGCGTTCTTGTCTGCCCACGAGCATATTTGTTTTCTTGTATATTGTGTATTTCTGTTGTAAGCTCAGCTAACAAAACACATCCATGTACCACGAAGTCGTCGAACGAACCTTATACGCAGTAGTGAGGTCTACTCCTGCCCCGAAGAGCTGCTGTTCAGGAATTTCGGACATGCGCTTGAAGATCGATGCTGTACATCAAATGCGAGGAGATGAGCATCTTTACACTCCCGTGATCGTAGAGCGTATTACCATTGGGGTCTGTTGTGCGTCCTGTCCTCTTCAGTTCATCGATGCCGAAGGAGGGAAGCATCGACTTCTTGACAAGGACTAGGTCAGAAGTACCTTGCAAACTGGCCACAGTCCTGTCAAGGGGTATGAGAATCTTCTTTTCCCCTTGCGCGATTAGTAAGGCAAATTCTTTCGGTTCCAAGTGACGTTTCCGGCAAATGAGCTCCAATGCTTCTTGGAGATACATTCCCGCAGAGCTACGCAATGAGTTAGTGTGGACATTGACCTTTAAGCGGCAACAAAGGCTTACACAGGTATTGTCGTGGAGACATGAACTGAATCGACGGCGTCTGCCACTCTTACGCGGAGGAACAATTGGGGTCCGTGCGCAGATGAGGGACCCAAGCTGGAGGATAGGCCAACCGAGCTCAGCGGCATAGAACCAGCAGAGATGCCAGATACAGATGCCGCAAGCGAGTGCTGGTTCGGAGTAAGGTTTGAGGTAGACGCGTCCGACCTCTTCTTCGCAGGGGCGAGCCGAGCAGTCGGGCGCTGTATCTTACTTTCCAGAATCTTGTTCTGCTGAACTATAATGTCGAAGGTAAGTTGTGAGCGTGTAAGCAATTGCAAGAAGAAATGGAAAGCATACTTTGTTGGGGAGATGCTTCTAGTACAGCATATGCGTCGAAATTGAACTTCGAAATCTTTCCTGTGCGATCCGGGGCTTGATTTGGCAGTAAGAGTCGCGCCCTCGACAAGCCTCATGCTACTCACGAGGAAAATCTTCATCCACCTCGCCGTCTTCCTCAGCTATACGCATGATCCAGCCAACCGTACTCATTCTGACCTTCCACTTCTCCCCGTCCTCCCCATCACGATCTGCCCACCCCTCCATCCCGTTATCCAATTTCGGCATCCACCCCTCCTCCCAGTAGTTCCACAGCGCGAAGCCAAGGACTTCTTCAACAGTAGCATCGCGTTTGACCATCAGTTCCATGGGCCGCGACGGTGACATAGACTTTGGGAAGAAAACCGTGATACTGGTGGCCTGGCTGGAGGTTTCACCTTTGCCAGACACTGCTCCGTATAGTTCCGAAAACGGATTCGTGGTGGAGGAGGAGGATGCAAGCATGGCAGAGAGCGCTGACTTCCCGTGAACTGGGACAGGTGGTGGTCGCTGTTTAATGAACAGCTCTGAGTCGTCAATGGTGGAGCCGGTATGGAGCTGTGAAGTTGCCCTCGGGAAAGTTTTCGGCGGAAATACTTCGGCAACAGGGGAAAGTCGTGGACGATGTCGAGGAGGGTTGATGTGAGGAGAATGCTCCGGGGCAGAAGAAGTGGTGGAAGCGGCGTCCCATTCGCTTCCGGATGGTTCATTACGGTTGTTAAAATCGCTTGATTCAGAGGTCAGTACCAGTGGATTAGGAGTATCGAAAAATCTCGTACAGATCGAAATCATCCTCATCCAAATCATCTTCTGCCTCGGGTACATCTTCGGCGTCGAAATCACTCATCGCATCATCCGACTCATCCGATACGGGTTGAGCTCTCTCATCCTCGCTGGAGTCGCTTGAGCTGGACAAATCCGGGTTGAGGTCTCGAGCGGTGGCTGCAGGTACCCCCGTCCGACTGGTTAACGCACGCTGCCGAGCCATCATCCGCTGTCGTCTACGTGCTTCCATTTCCGCAGCACCCTTGAACTTCGGGACGAATACAGGATCTTTTGCGGGGGCATGCTCTGATACCGTCACGCCCACTGCAGCGAGAGGGGTAGCATCGGGAGTAGGCCCTTCCACCGCGACATGGATGGAAGCCACGGGCGAATGTTTGGATGCACCGCCTACAGACGAGCCATCATCGGAGCGAGTAGTAGGTGCGAGGTCGTCGCCTGCTAAGCCGCGAGAGATTCGTTTGACCGAACCTCTCCTTCCGGAGACCCTCATGCCCAATGCGCCGGAGCGAGTTGGGCCTAAGATCGTCTGAGTGTACTTCAGTCCCGTAGCCCCAGGGAACCCTGAAGGACGGATAGAGTGCGACGATGGATCTTCGCTGTCAGATGGTTCGGGGGAGGCCGTTGCGAGAATCTCAGGGAAGCGAGACGTGTCAGAAAGGCCTGCAGCCAAGATATGTTGATTTAGGGCATGATTGGTGGGGAATGACAAGATGCGCCTGGCATACGGGTCATCGACGTTGCGAAGATAGTTGAGCCTGATGTTGTGTATGAGAAAGCTGGGGATGTACGTGGTATGTCAACGTATTGCACAATGAACGACCAACATGACAAAGCCCCACTCGGTGTCACTGATCAGGGACATCTTGTCTGGACAAAGAAGCGATCTCAAGAGGAGTACTAGGTCTCTTTCTGTGAGGTCGACTACACCACCAATTGTGCCCGATATCGGGTCTGCCTGGGTAGGGTAGATCGAGCCGTGGTTGAGTGCCAGGTGGCGCCGATGTCGGGTTGTAACGGAGTACTCCGTAGTTTAAGGGCCTGTTCGGTAGCAGGTCCAAACAGCGCTGAACGCCGTTCAGCGCTGAAAAGCTGATAATCGCGCAGTGCCACGTGCACACGTTACAGGCGTGGGAGTCACGCCCTGCGTCGTGATTCTGGTGGTTGTCGCGATCACTCTGTATCATACTTTCTATAACAATATGCCACCCGTACAAGACAATTATACAAACGAGGAGCAGAAGAGGCTCATCTTGGTTGCTGCGGTGACTGCTGTCATCAATACCATCTGTGCTGCTGTTGCAACTCCACTTGTTGATCGTATTCCTTATCACACATCTGCTCTTTCTGGATATGGATGGGTCTTGGAGCTCATCGATGGGCATCCTGACAGGATCAAGAATGAGCTTGGCATGCAGAAGCATGTTTTTCTTGGTCTGATTGCCGCACTTCAGATGGCAGGCCTTTCAGATTCACGTAATATCACCCTTCGGGAGAAGACAGCTATTTTCTTGTACATGTCTGTGACTGGACTCCGGATCCATCATGTTGCTGAGTGGTTTCAACACTCCAATGAAACTATATCCCAGTTAGTACTCAAGATCAGGTTGTTTATAACAACCACTAAATGTTCCTCCTAGGTACTATCGTGAAATTTGACCGCCCTCACTCCATTCCCCTTCTACAACACCTACGTCTATCTCCCAAGTCATGATGCCCCTGTTCCCAAGGCCATAAGAAGAAATCCAAAATGGTTTCCCTACTTTAAGATTGTCCTTGGGGCTATTGATGGGACTCATGTGCGGTGCTGCCCGTCTCTGGAAGAGTGTGCACTAGCACGTGATCGCAAGGGCCAGGTTACACAAAACTGCCTTGCAGCATGCAGCTTGGACTTGCGGTTCTTATACATCCTTAGTGGATGGGATGGGGTTGCATCAGATGCACTCATGTTCAGTGATGCTCGCACCAGCAACTTTCCGATACCACCTGGGCGGCAGTACCTCGCAGATGCTGGATTTGGCACCTGTGATGCCCTTCTGGTCCCGTACAGAAATGTCCATTATCACCTTGCAGAGTGGGGGTGTGCTGCAGTCAGGTGAGCTCTAGCTCAGCTTCAGTTCTTCAGTTACTGACGATCTGATAGACCGGAGAACAGTCAGGAATTATACAATCTATGTCATGCCAGTGCTCGTAAGGCTAAGCTCATGCACAATCCGGGAACATCACATGATTAGCATGACATTCCGGAAAAAGGCAATTTACGGCTGCTTGTTTGACGTGTCACCTCGTCGTCATCGTCGTTGCTCACTGTACACTCTCCGGGACTCCTGAGCCTTGTCTTTGATACTGCCACCTACGGATTTCCCAATATCAACACCGAACTAGCTGTGAAATGAGAATTCGGACAAAGTCAGAGCGGTCTCATCGGGGAAATGCAATGCAGCTGCATCATTGGAGGTGAAGCAATTCACTGTTTCTGTAGGCTGGTAGTCTAGTATAGTCGGATGTACGTTGGGTAGATTGAACGCAGCTCGTCGTCGCGGAGGGACAGTCATTTTTTCCAAATTAGGACTGTGACGGTGATGTGACGTAGCTCACGTGATGTTCTCGGATTGTGCATGAGCTTAGCCTTAATGTGGTTGAACGTATATTTGGTATCCTCAAGCGTCAATTCTGGTATATTTTAACCGCTAGAAATAATGATATGCTGACTTTTTGTCTCAGGATACTGGACTGTCCTCCAGAGTTTGACATGAATATTCAAGCTCGAATACCTCCAGCACTTGCTGCCATTCACAACTTCATTCGTCAGCATGACCTTGGCGAACTCGGAGATTTTCATGATATTGTCAACAATGTACCTGTCCATGATGACCTTGGCAAACTCGGTCATGGACCAGCAACACGGGCTGAATGCCTCCGTGTAACAGCAGATCGGGATGCAATTGCGGAAGCCATGTGGGTTGATTATCAAGCCTACACAAGACAGTACCACTATGGATAGCTACTTGCTATGTAGTACTGACTATTAAAGAGAATTATTGAATGCTGTAGTTTGGGAAAGGAATGATATCTCGCTCAAGCGCCATTGCAACCACAGCTTGCGCAGTTCTCCATCAGTCAGACCGAGGTAAGTATCAGCATGCTTGACATCATTAGTGAACAAGTCCACAAGCTCCATCTTCTCGAGTCCCGTGAGATGAGACTCGAGTTCTTGAAGCTTGTGAATAGGTGCATGTTTGCGATGCAGCGTAGCATGAACACCATGGATATGCCCTGACAGAGCAGCCGCAATGGTCTCACCAAATTCGCTGAGATTCGTGCCAAGGCCATTGATAGCTGACGAGACGGTGTCACGAGCTCACTTGGAGCTTGGCGTTGGGGCCGAGGTTGACTCCGCCCGATATTTCTTGTTCGACAACAAAACAGATGGTGCTATCGAACATGGTGTACTGCTCCGGTCACTGGTTGCAGGTGTCATGCGAGGTGGAGCCTGAGGAAGCGGCCCAGCACCTGGATAAGACAGAGTGCAAGGTGGCAGGTCGACATAGGGCAAAGGCGAAGCACGGGGTGAAGGTATTGACTCCTATAGAACATGATGTCACTCTGGCAACACGTAAGACAAATGGTGTACCCAATTGTCTGGTGTTTTTGCCCTGTTTGGTGTATTTTCAACCTCTGGCTCTGCGACTGGTTCTTCCTCGTCATCGACCTTATCCTCCAATGAAGAAGGGACATCAGCAGATGCCATAGCCCCTGGGTGGAAGACATTTGCTCCACGGACACGAGTGGGCATAAGCGCAATCATATCCTCCCACCACTCCCAGCCCTTATTTCGGAAAGGACTAATCTTCGGCTGTTTCTGTTTATGGGCATTCAGATGCCATTGAGATATTTTCTGTATGGCATACCTTGCAATAGGCCCGCCATGGTGCATCTGATTCTGCAGTAACGTGGGCGCCGGTGTGAGGATCAAAGGTGAACCCCGATAACTTGTCATTCAAGGTGTCACTGATGGCGTTGTATGTGTCCCTGAGCTGGAAAGACAAGTCAGAACGAGCAACAAACGGCACAAGCACATAAAACACACGGCCTGCCATTTGTTCTTGCATGACCTCGCTGACTTCTGTTTCCCCTTGGTACAAGTCGTGTTCAGGCTTGTAGCCAGCTCATCATAATGCTTCTCTTGAAAAAGCATGTTGTCGCCTGCCTTTTCACGGTTGTCTGAGACCTATTTGAGCAGCATCTGGACATCTGTATCGGTAAAGTGGACTCTGCCCGAAGACTCCTGGGACTGAGCAGGTGTTTTGGGACCTGGAGACTGCTTGCGACAAGCCATAGAAGTGTTTTCTGCGTAATGACAGTGTAGTGGTAGATTGTTGCGAGCACGCAGGTCCGTAGGAGTCGAGCGACGACGAACGGCGCGTGCAAATACGCAACGCAGCATGTGACTGATTGTGACGGTCACCAGAGGTCACATCGCCGTCATGCGCGATTATCAGCTTTTCAGTGCTGTTTGGACCTGCTACCAAACAAGCCCTAACCGTAGAGTAAACTTAGAATGGTCGCGGCGGAGCCGCTGTCGCGCGTAAGAAGTGCAAGTCACTTTATAAGTGAAGAGACTTCCGCCTGGGTTCCCGAGCCTTATCAGAAAGCTGAGGACTATCCAGTTGAGTTCGGTCTTATAGATAAGAAGGAGACGAAGGCGAGAGAGCAGAGGTGAAAGTATGAGAACTGATAGCTAGATGTGACGACTTGAAGAGATAAAACAGAAACGATAAGACTGAATCCCACTAGGCAACGGTGCTAGGGCAATTCAGAATGAGGCAATTGACACGACGCAAGAACCCGAACTACGTTACATGAAAACGGACTGTTTATATACTAATCGAATGAGTCACTGTTGTTACGGAGATGAAGGCTGCGCTGCGAGGCTACGCTATGAGGCTATGTTGGAAATCGATGGCATCCTGAGTATCTTGACTACAAACACCTTCATCTAGCTACCATCCGATGGTAGAATCTTGTCACGTTGATGAACCACGCAGCCTC